GAATTATCAATTAGCCACATTTTAGGAACTAGCGATATTTTAGGAGGTGGTGATGATCTTGGGCTTGATCTTGCAATGTCTTCCTCTAGTAGTAGTGCCGGTATGACATCAGAAAATGTAAAAGGTCTTTCGGACTTTGCTCAGCATGTTTTACGTCAAATTTGTAGTCAAGAATGGGTTTTGGAAAGGTGTTTACAAAATCCTGAAGAACTTTGTCATCCTGATATGCTATTAGATAATATGTTGACACCACGTCAGGCACAAAGATTATTACATATGATCTGCTATCCTGAGACACCAACTGAAGCTTTTATTGATCAGAAAACGCATATTACTAATATCCTGGAAAATTTGGAGCAATGGAGTCTTAGGATGTCCTGGCTTGATCTACAATTAATGTATAAACAATTCCCACCTGGCTCTGTCGATCTTTCTCAATGGTTGGATACTGTTGCTAAAGCTGCTATAGATGTATTTCAATTAAATACCTTATCAAGCAAATCTGATAGAAGATCAGGTTCTATATGGTTAGTGGCTCCTCTTGTTTCTAAACTACCAAGTGCTGTACAAGGGAGAGTTCTTAAAGTTGCAGGTCAAGTATTAGAATCTGGTAATTGGTCAAAAACAGCTGGCCGTGAACGAGGTAGATCCAAATCACCTTCACTTTTTAATCATCAGCCATTCTTATCATTGGTATTAACGTGCCTGAAAGGACAAGACGATCAAAGAGAAGGTTTATTAACATCATTACATTCACAATTATCGCAATTTCTTAATACCAGCAAAGAAGAGAAAAATATAGGCTCTGAAGATCCCAAAGCAAGAGAAGTTTTACAAGATGCTCTTCAATTAAGATTTAGCTTAGTTGGTGGTGTTTTCGATACAATACAACGAAATACAACTGCTACAACTGATTGGGCTATTTTACTCGTTCAATTAGTCAGTTATGGAGTAATTGATCTAAACAATAACTCAGAACTATTTACCACTGTTATAGATATGTTAGCAACATTGATACATTCCACTTTAGTCTCAGATTCACAGTCTGAAAAGGATGAAAATAAAAAGCATTATCAAAATTTAATGAAAAAGTTGAAAAAGGAACTTGGTGATAGAAATTCTCCAAGTATTCGATATGTTAGGCAATTATTACCGTTGCCAAAATTAACGATGGAAGTTATTACTTGTGAACCAGTTGGTTGTTTAACAGATACTAAAGGAAATAAAATCGCTGGTTTTGATAGCATTGACAAAAAACAGGTAAGCCGATCTCATTTATATAAAATATGACAAATATCTGGTTCATTTTGAGAACTGTCTATCTTAATAATAAATATATATGAGTAGGGCTTACAAGTATGCGATTCACAAAGAGTTTCTGCATGGGAATTATTAGAAGGCCATAAAAATCCAGCACCTCTATCTTGGGCTTGGTTCAGAGCAGTTAGATTGGAACGTAAACCACTTACTTATCAAAATGCTCATAAATTATTAAGGTATCATACACACAGTCAGATTAGACCAGCTAGCCATTATTTGGATCCACCACCTTTGCCACCAGAAGATTTGGAACCAGACAAAAAGGAATCTGAACCTGGCAAAGCTGATACCCCCATGAGCATTGACTCTCCAGGTAGAGTTGGTGGCAGTGTTGGTAGTAGTGGGGTAGGCAATGCTGCTACTAATGGAAAAGGTAAAGCTATGAAAACTAGACGTCATAGAAGGAACAAAGGAGCTGCAACCCCTACAGCTCCTGTGTCACAACAAATACAAGTTAGTGCAGTCATTATAACAATTATTTTGTGCATTTAGATTTTGAAATTTACATAATAAATGATTTTCTAGCAACCACCATCTCAACTACAACAAATGGCATTCAACAATCAACAAGCAGCTGTTGCTCAGCAATCTGGAATGTTCACTGGGCAACCTCCACAACCTCAACAACAATGGTATGCAAATCAACAAAATCACACACCAGCACAGCAATATGGATATGGACAACAGTTACCACCAACACCAGTTGGCGGACCTCGTTATGAAAGACCCGGAATGAATAATCAGTCCAAACAAGCATTAACTAATATGTTACGTTTGCGATTACCAAATCAATTTATGGGTACTCAACAACAACCTAATCCTGCACCAGTAGCTGGTCCAAGTGCTTTCCAAGGCATGCAAAGACAGCAGTTTATTAGACAGCAATTAAGAGCACAACACGGTGCGCCAGGTATCAATCCACAACAAAGTATGTTTGCACCACAACAGCAGCAACAACAACAGCAGCAGCAAGGAATGTATGCTGGAATGCAACAAGGTGAAATATCATAGATTAAAAAAGTATATGATGCAAAAATTTAGAATGTCTCTAATATGTGATTATTTACAGGAATGAATCAGAATTATGCAGGATATGGAGGACAACAAATGATACCACAACAGCAACAACAGCAACAACAGCAACAAACACCTCAACAGACACAACAACAGCAACAATTATTACAACAGCAACAGCAGCAACAAGGAATAATGAATCAACAACCAAATATGATGTTCCCAAATCAACAACAAATGATGGGACCTCAAAGAGGTCCAGAGTATATGCCACAACAAAGAATGCAACCTGCTGCAACAAGACCACCTTATTTGCAAGTAAGTATTAAACATATTGTTAAAGCTAATTTAACCTTTCGCTATAACAACGTCGTTCAAGTTATATTAAACTAATATAACCAAACTTGCGAATCCATATAAAATTATAATGATTAAAATTACCAATGAAATACATCGAGCATACGATTATGGGTAATTATAGTCATTGTTGGTAATGAAAGAGTTAAAAGAGAATCACTAATATATAAATTTAAATGATTACTTATATTTAATTTTCATTTATAGGCACCAAATGTTACAATGAATGCTATGGGACCAATGGGTGGAGGTCTTCAAAACCAACCTGCTCCACCATACAGACAAGCAACTGGTAAACCAGGTGCTGTGGGAGTAACTGGAGTAGGCACAACAAACGTTAGTTTACAACAAAATCAACAATTCCAACAGGTATATTATACGCATATTTAAAGCTAATATATATAATTTTAAAGTAATAAATATTTATTTATACTTATATTTATTTTTATTTTATAATAAGAAGACTTTTTTTTATATTTTTTCGTTTTATAGCAAGCGATAAATCAACAACGTATGAGACAACAAATGTTAGCTATGCAACAACAACAACAACAGGCACAGCAACAACAGCAAGCACAACAGCAACAACAACAACAACAGCAAGGTGCTGCTGGTGGACAACAACCAACTCCACAATTAGTTACACATTTACAGCGGCACTTGAGTCAACCACCACAACATCCCTATCAACATCAACCACCAGGATATTAAAACTAAGAATAACATAGTACGATATGATGCAGTGTTCCTTCAAAATGTATACACTCTTCATTTATTACTCTCGTATATTCATAACTTAAAAAAAATTATTGTTCATTTTTTAGATATGTACGTTAACGACCTATGTGTTCAGAATATTAAGCATTAACCCTCTATAACGTCGTGTAACTTTGAAGTTATATACTCATATATCTACAGTTTAAAAATTTTATTTTATTCTTTGTCATAAATATGTATATTACAATATCTCGAAAGTGAACTTTTACTTGCTAAGTAAAAGTTATACTTAGTATAGTATAATTATAATAATATAAATTATATCATAAATTTCAAATTACATAATTTTTTGTTAGACGAAAAGACAAATTGGATTAATGTAGAGGGTTAAGGAAAATGCATAATATTATAAATTCCGGAAATTTAGATCTTCGTTATTGATAATGAAGTAGATCAATTTATTATACTATTATTTTATTATAAGTAGTGCTACAAGTTTGTCTTACACTTTAATTTACCTAGTCTTACTAATTTTTATTGTATATATCGTATTTTTAGAATGTATACATTTATCCTTGATGTTATTTTTAACAATATAGATAGAGCGACATTATATTGCAACAATACAAAAAATCCCTTCTGGGGTCGCTTCTAATTTTCACAATGTCCTAAGGACTATAAAAATAGACTATAGAAATCATTACCAATCTAAATCCATTAATTTATAAATATAAATTTATTTTGATGATCATAAAAGAAATATTATATGGGTATTTATAAATGATGAAACATAGTTTATAATGTGTATACATTTTTTAAGAATACTGTTTTGCATTATAAGCGATGGATTAAAAATGTTAAAATCTTATCAAAGAAACAAACTACTTCTTTGTCAAGAAGAAATAGAATAATTGTGAACTGAATGCAAAGGAAGTAAGCTTTGCACTTTTATAAACTATTGTAAGACGAATGTATCTAAAATTTTCATCATTTTTTAAACTCAGTTTATTTTTTTAAGTTAATGTTAACATAATCGTGTATATACGATATCAATTTTACTTTTAAATTTCTAGAGTCTTTCTATAAATTGCCAAAACTCATTTACGTATTACGAAAATGAAGGTTGTAATATCTTATATTTGATAAAAATGAATTTCTTCATTAAATTGTACTTCATAATTTTGTATATTAAGTAGAATACATTTCGTTCATGTAATATGATCAATGTTACAAAACTAGTTCATAAAACAAAACAATGGAAAGAGAAGATAAAATTTATTCATCTTATCATAAGAATAAAATTTTCTTCTTACAACCAGAAATAAAAGCATTTTGAATTAATGTTTAATATGAAAATATATGTACTATATTGAATATTATATCATATTATTTTAGTTAATTGTTAATTTTTTTAAACAATACCTTGTATCATAAAATAAAAAATTATTAACTTGTAACAAAGCTTACATATAAGAATATTAAACATGTATTTCTAAAAAATTAGCAATTAAATTATTCCTACAGCAAACATTTCTTGTTAATTGTCATACTACAAAAATTATATATATATATATATCATATATTAGCATATAAATCAGCTTTATGATTGGCCGAATTCCTAATATTCCAACGAACCAAACGACAAAAACCCTAGTTTCCGTTTAGTTGGACGGTTGCTCTCTTTCGATCATATTGCGCAGGTATCAAGATGGGTATGTTCTGGCTCTTGATTTTATAGTTTTTTCAAAACGTCATATATTCTAAATTGTCATATTTTAATGAAAAGCGTTCAATAATAATTGCAATGTATCAATGATAATATAATTTTATGTATGCTTATAATAAATATATCTAATGAAACGAAAGTGTGTATAACCTCAAACGAAACTATACCGCGTGTTTCATTTTATTAAACAAAATTCAGTGATTTTTTAATAAATGTCATTAAATTATTTTCTCGTGATTTGTCGAAATTTTAAATATAATATTTGACTAATGCAATTGTAAAAGAAAAATGAGATGTCTAATCCTACAAACATGTGCTTATAGGTAAACCTCGAGGTCTTCGTACAGCTCGTAAACACGTAATTCATAGAAGGGACCAACGTTGGAATGATAAAGATTACAAAAAAGCACATTTAGGAACAAGGTGGAAGGCTAATCCCTTTGGAGGTGCCTCACATGCTAAAGGCATTGTTTTGGAAAAAGTGTGAGTACTTCTCCTAAAGTGTAATAATTGATTTCTAATAAATTAAAATAACAAATGTCTTACTGTAATTTATACAGTGGAGTCGAAGCCAAACAACCCAATTCTGCTATTCGCAAGTGCGTAAGAGTGCAGCTTATTAAAAATGGCAAGAAGATCACAGCTTTTGTACCTAGAGACGGCTGTCTAAACAACATTGAAGAAAATGACGAAGTTCTAGTAGCTGGATTCGGACGTAAAGGTCATGCTGTTGGTGACATTCCTGGTGTTCGTTTTAAAGTAGTAAAAGTTGCAAATGTTTCTCTACTTGCTCTTTATAAAGAAAAGAAGGAACGTCCCAGATCATAAATCCTTGGTTACAAACTTTTAAAAATTTGTAATTAACAATATAAAATGGAATTAATTTAATTATACAAGTTTAAAAGATAAAAGAATTGTTTTGTTATCATTGCCTTTATTTTATTCATCATCAGTTTTGCATTTATTCAATATATGGAAGTAAACAATAAAATTACATACAATGATTTATTCTTTGTGGACGAATCATAAATAAATTGATAGTTCGTGTCCTAATGGGCATACAAAGAGTAAACAATAAACGCATTATATATAAACATCATAATGTATCAATAGTTTCATCTGTAGAAATCATAATGTCCTCTACAAGTGAATTCAATGATCTATTATAATTGATTTTTTGGGATGCACTTGGTAACTTAAGTTTGGATATTTCATCTTTCATATGCAACATCTATAAAAAAAATTATTTTTATAGTTTATACATAAAGAATAAAAATATGTTAATGCAAAATATTACCTGTTTAAAAATCATAAAGTTAGAATGTATACTTTTGATATTTGAATCCATATTGTTTTCTGTAGTATTTTCATTTCTTGTATGCGATACAGGCCAAGAAGAAATCATATTATAGGTATCCATGAATTTTTCAATTTGTACAATAAAATTCTTTTGTTGCTTAATATTATTTTGTTCTACATTGTTTTCCTACAATTATTACATACCTTTAATCTAATTACATCTATTGCCATTCAAAAGATATAAATCTTTATACATACACTATCTACAGATGAGTTTTTTATTGTAGAAATATTATTTGACTCATTAGAATCATCTAATTTTTGTAAATCTTCAAAATATTTTATAGCTTCTGAATAACTCTGTTTTATAGATGTATTACTTGGATTATTTGTATCTTCAGTAAAATGTATCTATATATGAAACAATTCTTTATTACATGTACCTTGTAAAAGTGGTAAATTTATACTAGTTTGTCAATTTACTTTCAATAAATTTGCAATTGATTCTTCCTCATTGGTTGGAACATCAATTGAATCTGTATAAACATTTTTAACAAATTGTAATAATAGAGTTAGAGTAGAAAGTTGTTCCTCTAATGTACAATTACCCTAAAAAAAAAGATATTTACAATTAATAGAATTCACCTATATCCATATTTACTTATTACTTATTAATTATAATATACCAATAATATATCTTTGTTAATACAAATTCCAAGTTGAGAATAATACATTGCAAGTTTGTCTGAAAGGAAAGTAGTATTTATAACATTTTTCATTTCAAATTAGTATATATGCTATATAAGTTTTTTGTTTATTTCGTTTAAATGTAGTCTATAATATACCATGCAAAGCAGAACCTTCAAGTTTCTCTAAATCATTCGCAATGTTCGGTACTTTTTCCGTAAGTAACCATGACAATAAATGAATTCGATTATCACCGGAAAATATAATAGAACTTATATTGTTTGGTTCTGCTTTAGTAATTTCTGGATAACGTAATTTAAATAAAACATTATAAAAGTCTGACATAATCGTATCTATCGTAGACATTATGAAATGTGAATTAAAATTCGAATTAAAAAAAAAGAAAAAAAATAAATATGCGTTAAAGTTTGAATACGATGTTTTATAGCACTTGCGTACTATCGACCAGTCGCTGGTTCTTTGGCAACCACTCAATTCAAGAAAATATATCTATCCTTATATACTTGATCGCGATACTATGAAAAAACAAACGATGTATAGACAAATCATTTGATCGTTTGGTTATTGGTCTTTCATTGGACAAGTCAGCGGTGATTGGTTGACAAGGCGTAACAGTTTTTAATGATGCATTCCTGTGAAAATTATCTTAATAGTATTTACAGGATTTTTCTCATATCTTTCTCGTATTCTTTTGAGAATGATCTTTCTAAGAATTGAATTAAAATTTTTTAGCTAATATAAAATACATTCTGTAATGTTCTAAAGAATATTATATATAATATACTTATTATTTCATTTATTTTTATATTATTCTATACTAAAAATGTTATTATCTCTTTTTCTCGAATATATACGAATCGTGTGGTTTAACGCTGATAGACCGAAACATTTGATACTTTGTCGTGTTATATAAATTGTTATTGATGCGAATAATATTATATATTATAACAATAATATTCTCTTCTAATTTTACAACTAGAAATAAAACTATTTTGAATTAATGTTTAATATGAAAAAATATGTACTATATTGAGTATTATAACTTATGATTTCAGTTAATTGTTGATTTTTTTAAACAACGTCTTGTATTGTATTATAAAATAAACATAATTAACATTAATTTCTAACAAGTTAGCAATTAAATTTTCCTATATTAAACATTTTTGTTGCCATCCTATAAAAATTAACATATATCCTATTTAGGATTAGTCGAATTAGTAATATTCTGACGAACCGAAACGAAAAAAACCCTAGTTTCCGTTTAATTGAACGTAGATCTTTTTCGAATATATTACGCAGACATCAAGATGGGTATGTTCTGGTTCTTGAATTTATAGTTTTTTAAAACGTCACACATTCTAAATTGTCATATTTTAATGAAAAGCGTTCAATAATAATTGCAATGTATCAATGATAATATAATTTTATGTATGCTTATAATAAATATATCTAATGAAACGAAAGTGTGTATAACCTCAAACGAAACTATACCGCGTGTTTCATTTTATTAAACAAAATTCAGTGATTTTTTAATAAATGTCATTAAATTATTTTCTCGTAATTTGTCGAAATTTTAAATATAATATTCGATTAATGCAATTGTAAAAGAAAAATGAGATGTCTAATCCTACAAACATGTGCTTATAGGTAAACCTCGAGGTCTTCGTACAGCTCGTAAACACGTAATTCATAGAAGGGACCAACGTTGGAATGATAAAGATTACAAAAAAGCACATTTAGGAACAAGGTGGAAGGCTAATCCCTTTGGAGGTGCCTCACATGCTAAAGGCATTGTTTTGGAAAAAGTGTGAGTATTTCTCCTAAAGTGTAATAATTGATTTCTAATAAATTAAAATAACAAATGTCTTACTGTAATTTATACAGTGGAGTCGAAGCCAAACAACCCAATTCTGCTATTCGCAAGTGCGTAAGAGTACAGCTTATTAAAAATGGCAAGAAGATCACAGCTTTTGTACCTAGAGACGGCTGTCTAAACAACATTGAAGAAAATGACGAAGTTCTAGTAGCTGGATTCGGACGTAAAGGTCATGCTGTTGGTGACATTCCTGGTGTTCGTTTTAAAGTAGTAAAAGTTGCAAATGTTTCTCTACTTGCTCTTTATAAAGAAAAGAAGGAACGTCCCAGATCATAAATCCTTGGTTACAAACTTTTAAAAATTTGTAATTAACAATATAAAATGGAATTAATTTAATTATACAAGTCTAAAAGATAAAAGAATTGTTTTGTTATCATTGCCTTTATTTTATTCACCATCAGTTTTGTGTTTATTAATTTACAAAAACAAATAGTAACATTACATACTATGATTTCCCATTTGCAGAAGAATCGTAAATACACTGATATCTCATGCCCAATGGTCATACAAAGGATTAAAAATTATTGCATAATATTCAAATATCATAATGTATCATCAGTTTCATCTATGGGTATCATAATATTCTCTACAAGTGAATTAAATAATTTGTTATTATAATTGACTTTTTATAATGCATTTATGTAGCATCTATGAAAACAATTATTTTTGTAATTTATATACAAAGAATAGAAACATCTAAATGCAAAACATTACCTGTTTATAAATCATAAAGTCAGATTATATACTTATGATATTTGAATTGTTTTTATTTTTTATGCGCAATGTAGGCTAAAAAGAAGTCAAATCATAGATATCCATGAATTTTTTCATTTATAAAATAAAATTCTTTTGTTGCTCAATATTAGTCTTTCCTGTATCATTATATATTCTTAATATAGTTACATTTATTGTCATTCGAAGAAAACATATCTTTACACATATACTATCTGCAGATATGTTTGTTATGACTCATTAGACATCTAATTTTTGTAATTCTTTAAGATATTTTACAGCTTTTGAATAACTTAGTTTATAGAGATATGTGTTTGAATTATTTGTATCTTTGCACGAAAAATAATCTTTATCAAATATGATTTCTAATGAATATAAATAAATACTATATATTATAAATAAATTATACTATTTTATTAATTTATTTATTACTTTTAATAAATTTACAATTGACCCTTATTAATGATTGAAAATATCATTTGAATCTACATAAATATTTTTAATAAATTTAAAAAAAGGAAAATGTATAAAGTTGTTCTTCTTATGTACAATCAAAGGAAATAACTATAATTAACAAAAGAGGAAATATTTATAATTAATAGAATTCGTCTATTATCCATATTCAGTTATTATTTATTAATTATAATGTACCAATAATATAACTTTATTAACACGAAGTTATCAACGATTGGTCGAGAGCGTCTAAGAATTCTTAATGATCTTTAAGGTACTTAAAGGTTTGTTTCCATATTTTTCGAACGTAATAATTTCGAATATAACCTTACTAAAGAATTAAATATAAATTTTTTAAGTAATATAAAGTATGTTTTGAAAATATTTTGAAGAGTATTGTATGTAATATGTTTATTGTTTCCTTCATTTTTATTTTTTAAATATACTAGAAATGTCATTCTATCTCTCTTTTCTCTCTCCATTATAGTTCGAATTTATTTATTATTGTGGTAACAATGGATACTTATCTGCTGCGCGTTCTTAAATTATAACTGTATTCTGTTTAACGAATGCATTTCATTTTGTTTTGAATTTATTTGATTATTTGAAGAAGTTAAAGAAAGGATGAAAAGAAAAGCATTATTAGATGACAGAGATTTCAATAACATGTAGTCTATCGTAATTAAGCAGTATTTTACAAAAAATAAATTTATATCTTAATAAAAGTTTAATATTACTGCTGACTGAAAAAAAGTGTATCATCGATGTGGTTAAATTTATGTGTTAACTATGAACATTCATTTATTTGATTGATCTATCGTGAATTTCAGTAACGGAAAGATTCAAGACAAAATCGAGGTTATAGTTATGGAGAAAAGTGAAATTATCTATATTTCTTCTGACGATGATGAAAAGGTTTAATAATTATGCACAATATTTCTTAACCTTTCTTTTTTATATACATTTAATATATCAGTTATTTTAGTTAATAAATTAATAAGATATTTCTTGCAGAATTTATAATATATATATTATTTATAGTTACAATTTTAAGTTTGCCATATTTTAACTATATATTCACTATCATTTATAAGTATTTTAATGTCTTCTAAAATCTGTTTATATATTTTTGTAGACCGATGATAAACAAAAATCTCTGCAGTGCAATGAAAAAGTTAATAAGATTAATTTTGTAAATACAAGTACAGAACAAGTACAGAAATTGAATAATAATGAAAGAAAAGATATAGGTAAGCAAAAACGCAAAATATCAGAAGTCGATGATATTTCGAACATAAAGAATAATGGTATAGATAAAAAAATTAAGACAGAATTAAGCCAAGAAATAAATGGTCTGTCAACAAAGGATAATTATAAACAAAATGATATTAAATCACAAAACTATACATCTCTACCTGTAAATAATGTAACTGTTAAGCCACAGTTGATTATTAAGGAAAGGAAAAATATATCTCTTCCAGAACAAGATGTATTTCCTATGTTTATCAGTTTATGCTTACAAAAAAAACGAGAACCCGCAATGGAGATTATTGTTAATAAACTTAAAAGACGATATGATTTAATGAATCCTATGTATGCAAAATCAGAAGCTTTTCAGAATTTTTTGAATAAAAAACGTAATGCTATTTTGTCTTCTGACAATATGATATATCATCATATTATGGATGTCAAGACTGAAATGAAATCTAGAGCTAAAGGAACTTCAAAAATATCTGCTCAAATTGAAACAAGTAAAAGTAATGTTTATAAGGATATATCATCATGTTCCAAATTATCTTCATCTTCAGGTATTTTTAATAATATGGAATTAGAGGAAATAAATGAAGAAGATTATGAAGATAATACCATGGATGTTCATATGGAAAACAGACTTAAGAAAATAGTAAAAGTAATGAATATATGTGAGAGAAGAATAAAAACATTGGAAGAGGCTGAAGTAAATTTTTCTGATGAAGATAACAGTAATTACATTAAACTTGAAAAATATAAAGAAAGAATGGTAAAATTGTACAATGAGTATTGCCGTATAACAGGTGATAATGCAGATGCAGGTCGTCCATACTTGAGACCGAAGCATTTAAACCCAACTCAAATTGTTATTGTGGATCAAGCAATCACGAATTTTATAAATGCAAAGATCACTAAAAGAAATAGATTAAAACGAAATGGCAGATTTACAGATGATTTAATATTCCCAGATTACACGGACATCTTGAAATGCGTGTCAGATTGTAATGAAAAAAATAATTTAGGATTAGATAGAAAAAAGCAGTCTCAGATCGGTAAGTTTTTTCCATCTAATTTAATTCTTTCGTTACGTTTGAACTGCATATCAAAACACAATCGCTTAGTGGGATTCCGTGCAAAAAATCTACATTTCAAATTTCAAATTTGCTTCTTATTCCTTAGAAAGTTTTTCGTTGTTTTTTATTTTTTTTAATATCGAGTGACTCTAGTCACCCATAGCGAAAGGTTTAAAACTGTAATAAAGAATAATTTTATAATAAATTAATAACTGTTATAGCTAAAAAGGCATTTACTAATTTGGGAGAACACTTACAACGTGCTAGGCGCAATGATTATTGGGATACATTTTCTCTATCTTTGGAAAATAAACAAGAAGATCCAGCCTTAAAAGATCATGAACTTGCACAAAAATTACGTACAAATCGAGAGATCGGAGAAAAGAAATTATCTCAAGTATTTCAAGACTATGTGAAAAAACAAGAAGAAATGAAAAATTCCTTATTAGAAGATAAGGCAGATACAGAAAATGATGATGATGATGACGAAGATAACAATATAGAATCTAAAGATGAGGATGAACACAGTGAGGAGGATGATGAAGATGACGAAGATGAAAATGATATTGTAGAAGATGAAGATGAAGGTGAAGAAGATAAAGCTAGTATTAATAGCAGTGAAAAAAATAAAAACAAAAACAAACATATCTTGGAAAATGAGACTAGTTCAAAAAATGATTTAACAAATACATGTGAGGATAAAGATAAAGATGTGTTAATAAAAAATGTAAATGAAGTAAGATATGATATAAACGTAGGAATTTCTGAAAAGGTGAATGAAGAATCAAGTTCAGCAATAAAATCAGAAGTATCAATTATTCAACAATCATCCACATTAAATAACAATGATGCTAAAGGTAAGATCAAAGATTTATATATATTATTTAAAAAGAATTAATATAATTCTATGTAAAGATTTGTATTTATCTAATTATTGAAGTATTTATGTTGAATTAGATAAAACAGATGAAATTATGCTGGTGGACAATGACTGCGATGAAGCAACAGGAGGTAGTAAACCTCTGTTACGTGTACGTTCCTTTGCAAAACATCCTACAACTTGGGAAGACAACAAGCAAAAATTGCAAAATTCGGGAAATGGAGCAACAAAAGAAGTGATTGATCTTACAAATGATGTAGCTATAACAAAAGTAGAGGTACCTAATTTTAAAATTCAAACAGCTATACTTCCTTCAAAGAATACATACAAGGCTTTGGTGATACCTGCAAATTTGGCAAGTAAAAGTATTATCAATGTTAAGAATATTACAAATAATTACTTAAAAGTAAATCCAAGAAATATTACTGCAAACAAATCAAACATAAAATCTTTATCTGTGGTAAAACAAGTAGTTGATGTAAGTTCCGTTAATACTATTATACATTTACCACATTCTTCTAATCGACAAAATACAAATAATAATGGAAATAATAACGGAACAAAACAAAATAAAACTATCGTGCACCTTCTTGTACCAACAGAACAAGTACATACAACAAATTCGATAGGAATGTCCATTATAGGAAGTTCAAAAAATAAACCAAAATGACTGCGAACAAAACCAAAATATGTATACTTTGATCACTATAATGACATTTATAGTTTAGAAAAACTTAGCACTTTAGTGTTAAGTATTTTATATGTATATTTAAACATTAAAATAATTGTATTTATATGTAGAAATCAAGAATTCAAATAATGAATAATACATAAACATTTAATTACAATTAAAACCATTTAATTGATAAATTATCGTAAAACTTGTGTAAAAGTATATATGTATGCTTCGTTTTTAATTATATACTTTAAGTATTCGTGTTTCTATACATTCATATATTGCAATATTAATCGTGTTAAAACAAATTCAGTATCTAATAAATTTTCTACGATATCAAAATGATCAATGTTGTCGCGTAATAAAATATACTCTACGTTATCCACAAAAGACATAATTTTCTGAAAGAAAGAAAAAAAAAAAGAGAAAAAGAATATTATTTTCAACTTGATGAATTCACATATATGAATTTTATAAATTTTATGTATTGTAATAACTTACTTGAGCATATTCACGTGTTTCGTTAATAAATACAGGAGAATCACACTCTCCTACAGTAACGATTACTTTTAAATTTTTAATAGGTTTATATTCTTTAGTATCGAGAGTAGAAAAACTTAATTCTCTAATATCATCTCTAAAAGAAAATCGTTAAAAGATATAACGTGGGAAATATGAAAAACGAAAAATTAAATGATACTTACTCCGAAAGTTTTAAAGCTTCATTATACGAGGTATTGGTAAGAGGTCCTAAATTATAAATTCCGCCAGCGAGCAACAGACCTTTTATCAATTGAAAATATCCTCGCTTCGTCATACATTCAATCCATTTTGTATCGTGTAAAAATGCGGCTGCTAAATGTGCACCAGCACTGTGACCGCATATCCAAACGCATCTGTAGTATATTAATGTTCAATAATATTACGCGATATCAATTCAAATAAACTTCATATATGACCTTTTCGTAATAAGAATTAACGTATTCTAGCGTTATAAGTATTCATACCGACATCCAGAATTTACAGCAGAACTTAAAATTGTCTCAATTGCAATTTTTATTTGAGAAATTATATCCTGTAATTTAACTGAAAAATCAACGAGTTAATTTTGCGTTCTTGTTTTTATTAAACACGATATAAATTATTATTATTATTATTATTATTATTATTATTATTATTATTTTATATATATTATTATTATATATAATAATAATAATAAAGATTTATAAATAGATTTTACCATTAGGACATAGATCATATCCGATCAATACAACTTTAATTTTATTGGCGACAAGAACTGGCACTGAAAATCCTCCGAAATCTTTACTTAATTCTTGCCAATAACCACCATGAATATATATAAATATTGGTGCATCTAAAAAGTTAAAAAAAAGTACAAGTAAATTTTTATTTAATTTTTTTTTTAGTTACGCATTGGTACCATTGGGTAAGTCGGTTCCATAAATATCATATTTCGTACGCTCTGTTGGACCATATGGGATGTCTAAAAGACACTTCGTAGTGTTTCGTGCTTTTTTCATTACTGTAATATAATAAAAGAAGGATTTGTTTTCTAATTAAAATTTATAAACATAAATATAACAGTAATCATACCGTTCACTGCAAGAATTAAAAACCGTGATATTAATTCTTCCGGTTTAAATCTTTTACTCCATTCACTTGGTGAATAAAGGATTTCTTGCTAATGTGAAATAAACAAATCCTTGTTAAAATGTATTGGAAAAATATATAATCCAATTATACAAATTATCTAAATATTTTGAAACGAATAACTACGATGTATTTTGAAACTCAAATAAATTATTGATTGTATAAGACATTACTTACGGTCGACATTTTCCTTCGTCCAGTTACCAAGCCGTTACTATGAAATATGCTTGTAATGACCACTATGCAAATGCGTAATAATCAGGAGATAATTAAAAACAAATCACTGCATTTTATATAACGTTGTATAAACACAATGTTATTCAGAATAAATAAAATTGTACTGTAAAAAATTACATAGTTAAAACCGGAAGTTTAATACCTTTTGATAGATGGCGACTCTATGTTAGTTGTACGATTTATACTTAATGAAGAAAAACTATCGGCGGAGAAATGTGGTGTATCATATAAATGCAGAACTTAACGTAAGTCAACTAAAGTCGATAGAATTGGAATTTTATGTTCTTGAAAAAAAAAAAAAAAAAAAAAAAAAGAAAAAAAAAAGAAAGAAAGAAAGAAAAAATAAATAAAAAATAATTAACGTACTTCAAACTTTTTATCTTAATGAGAACATCAATATTTTCAATGCTACAGTAATTTATATATATATATGTATATCTACTACAATATAACAGTATAATCGGATAATTAAGTTTGTATTAAAAAAATTGTTATTTATTGGTATCTTATATGAATGCCAAAAATAAAGATCAAAAGTTAATAAGATATTTTTTTCGTTTAACAGACCAAGGTCGAAGGTGAATTGCGTGTCTATCACGACAGAGAGAGAGAGAGAGAGAGAGAGAGAGAGAAAGAGAGATATAACGGTAAATTAAATTTTATACCTATGATTAAACGTTAAACCGGATATCGAATAAATCATTTTTGAATTACAAAAGAAAAGAATGAGGAATGTAATTTTGGAAAGATCAGAGCCATGCAAAAGCGAAATCCCTTGAAATCTAATATCATCTTTATTGATCAAAAAAAAAAGAAAATAAACTTACGTATCTGTCGAATAAAAAAGAAAGGAGAGAAACGATACAATTAACATCTGTAAGATTTTTTTCGTAACGATAAGTGGTCGAAGACGTCGCTTTAAAACACGTAGGCATCTTCCTGTACGTAAACCTCACGAGAGGAGCAAGCAAAGCTTGCAAGGTTGAGGCACACCAAAACCAGAAAAACCGGCCCCTCTCTTTCTCTCCTTTCTCCCTCTCTTTCTTTCTTTCCCTCCCCCGACCTTTCAGCGTTGACTACGAGGAGTCGCAGGTACTCGGTACCTATACATAAAAATATAAATATATATATATACACGTGTATATATATATATATGTATAAGTACCTGACGTATCGAGTATCGTGCCTTGTCGATACCTGTCCGCAGACCACAGGTAAGAGAAACCACTCCTGTTAAAAAATTCTTTGGCAATTCGAAGGAATGCCTTCCCAGAAGTCATACTGAGAATACGGGGTCCGAATATGTATAATAATGGACGGGGCTCGAGGGCGGATCGTCGACCTTACATTGTTTTAATTATATGACAATTTTTGAATCACCTTGTATTACATAATCGTAAAAAATTTCGTTGCAATCGATTAATTGACGTTTCGTTTGATTTAAATTAACTTGTATATGTATCGTTGTAAAATATAATCTCTAACCTATAAACAGCTGCATGTCTTTTCTCGTAACACCGATATATATATATATATATATATATATATATATATATATATATATAAGTATAGGTTTATGTACGTCAAACTGCAGATGAATTTTGAAATTTGGTGGATTTTGTGAGAGAAAAGTAATGAGAGAAGGATTCCATGCGCCTCGTGAACGTCCTCGGCGTTCTTCTTGATGGCCCTTCTCGTTTTACATGCTTTTTACAACTAACCCTTCTTTATATTTAAAAGAAGCAACCGCAATGGGTTAATTTATTTGACCCATCCGACTACGCTTGCTTCCAATTAGTTTCCATGACGTTAAGCAGATCCTTTTATATTCTACCGCGCGTTTCTTATTCGGAACAAAAGATAATCGTTGTTCGATAGGTGCTTTAACGATGCCAGTGAAAGTAATCCCACCAATCAGATTTTATTTATTTTTTTTTTTTTTCTTAACCTGCGTAGCATACCCTTTTTGCAACATTGTGAAAGACCCGAAAGGCTTTCTTGTTCGACATTAAAGTAAAGTCGTGACTATCTCATTCATTTTAACGTAGAAAGGATCCGAGGATCGAGAAAGCACGGGGCTTAAAGGTATGCAGGCTTGTATGTATTTCGAATGCTTCGACCGTGAGAAACGTGAGTAAGCGCTGACTGGCATCAGCGGTTCTCTTTCAGATTGTTCTGCCTTAGGCACGCACGTGGCACGAACAAAAACTAATATATGAATGCAAAATTGACCTCGTCTTTCATGATTTACGATAAGAAATATATTTTCCAATGATAGTTAGACGACTGTTTTAAGTCTATGGAACAACGAGCATAATATACAATAGACAGGAAGATAGTATTCATACCTACTGATTAAAGCAATGTGTGTTTCCGCTTCTTATGTTAGTTGGACCGTTGAATTGATTCCGATTAGTTCCTTTTCGCGTTCTTATATGATGTTTTTTATTTAAAATATAAAAAAAATTTCTATGGTTATCGTGTTATATTTCAATTTAAGACAATGTCGTATAATTTATATACATGTTAATAGAAATAACGAAAGTAAAAGTGAACTTACAAATATAAACTTATAAAGATTTACAAAAATAAAACTCACGTAAATATAAATTTATATTTATAGATATAAATAATATTGTTAAAAAAATTATTATTACAATATATTAATAAAAAAAAAAAAAAACTACCGATCCTGCCAGGATTCGAACCTGGAATCTTCTGATCCGTAGTCAGACGCGTTATCCGTTGCGCCACAGGACCGACCTTGGACTTTCATTGTCTAATGTGTCTTTCATTCATCAAATAATCGTTTATAAGAAATATTTTTATTTTCATTATTATGCGTATACTAAAGAATTTTTTTTTCTTTAATTAAATTATCTGATAGCACGATGATAAGACCATAAGTTGATAATACTTGAAACAAATTGTTTTAAAAAATAAAAATTATTTAGAGATTAAAAATTATTTAATCTCTAAAGTAACATTTCTTTAAGTTTTATTTATTATTCAAATAAAACGATCTAAAAATAAATAATATAAAACTCTATTTCTCAGTAATTATTTTAAATTTAAAATAAGAGTAAAACGTTATTCAACCATAATCATCATCGTGCCTCTCATATCTTTTGTTATCCGATCCTATCCTCTTGTCAGTGAAGAAGTTCTATTCTTAAATTCTCGGTACTCATGACGATTCGCGAAGTATTAATTACATCATATGCTATAATAATTTCACAAGAACGGATAACAGCCACATTTGTTTCTAACAATAGACTCAATCGAGACTTTGATCTTATTGTTACTGTAACTTTTTTAATGTCGCGTTAACTCAGTCAATTAGATAAATAGAAAGATTTCTTATATAAATATTAATGTTTAATAATATGAAACTCCATTGTAATCATGAAGTATACAATTATAAAGAATCTTTGTACTATATCAATTGACGAGATTTATCGAAAGGAACGAAAGACCGTGAGAAATATCGACACTCCCACGTAGTATATATTTATTCACATTTTACCTCAAGCTAAACATTAAATACCACTCCCGTGTGTTATTTCATTTCCGGGAACATCTTTGTTGGCATACAAATTGTACGAAACGATTTTCTCGATTATCTCGACGTCTGATCGATTATCTGACGTTTGAATGAAATCTAAATTATTTATACGCATACGTATTACAAAAACTATTAAATGTCCGATGAACGAACTAGTCGTTGGAAAATAAACAAATCAAATTATTGTTTATACTTTGTTAAAATAATTTTTTTCATTATATTTGGCAAGACTTCTTAACGATTCTATTTAATGTTATCAACAGACAGATAGAAGGTCGATAATAATTTGGTAAGTTGATACTCTTTCAAATAAAATGTGTAGCTTTGTTGGATAAATAGATTTCTCTTTTCTCCGATCCCCGGCAAATATCCGCCATGCGCTCGGCCGTTGGTTACCATGGTAACAGCGCCACTGCAGCCGCTGTTGCCGCGTACTACAGCGCATGCTTCGGAACGCGACGGAGCAATGGTGGGAAGAACTGAGTCACGATCTCATTCGATTTTGTCCGAAATTGTCCGAACTTCGCGTAGTGCGTGCCCCCATGGTTTGAGCGTTAAAAGGCTAAGAAGAGAGATAGGTAAGAAAGAGACCAAATAAGAGTAAAGAAAAAGAGAAAGATAGTGAGAATACGTAAGGAAGAGAGACGAACATAGAGAGAAATTGGTTAAGTACGCGTGCGCATTGGAAAAAGACAGAGGGAGATCGTGGGACGGCATTCGTAGTAGTTACGCGTTCCGTAGGGGGGAGACGGTATCGTCGCGTCATAAAAGTGGGGATGGGGGGGGAGGGGGGACGGAATCTCCCCTTACAAGCAGAAGCAACGAACAGTTCTCGGCTCCCGACATCGGCCTGCAGTCGACGAGTTGGTCCTAGCGTAGAAGAGGGAGGGAAAGCGTAGTGTATGCGTAAACGAACGTGAGAGAGGGAGAAAGAGAAAGAGAAAGAAAGACCAACAGACGAGCCGTAGAAGAAGTAAGAGGGGAGGGAGATAGAGAGAGAGAGAGAGAGAAAGAAAGAGGAGAAGGAGCGCGAGAGAAATAGAGAAAGGGCGCGCAGGAAGGAGAAAGAGAAAAGCAAAAGGGAGCAACGCCGGTAGAACGCGCGGTGTGTCCTCATGTCGTACGGCGTTTCTGAACGCGGCCATTACGAGATAGCTGCTCGGTGACGCTCGGTGTGTTAGAGGACGGTCGTAGTACAGCATTGTCGTACAGTCGTGCGTGTAGTAATTTTCGAAGGTACAGAACGCCGCGCGCTTCTTTCGATCAAGCACGTGCTCGTTCACGTTTTCGCTTATAAAAAAGAGCAGCCAACGCGCGGCACAGGCACACACGGTGGTCGTTGCACCGCTTTCAACTACGAAGAGCGTGAAAGGAAGGAAAAAAAAAGAAAAAAGAAAAAAAGAGAGAAACAAAGCGCGCGCAAAAGAAAATAAAGAAAGAAACCGAGATCACGCGACTGTTGAGAAAGGAAATACACGACGAACGACTAATCGGCACCACGGCGTCACGTCGCGTTATTCAACGAAATTCTTGATATCATTGTGATCGTTGTTTTTAATAAGAAGAAAGAGAAAACGAGTGCCGGAACGAATTAATCAACTACGATCGACGAAGAACTACAGGAAGAGAAAATAAATTTAAGAAATATCGACGATCGGCAAAAAATACAGCAGCCATGTTCGACGTTTTTGGCTCGGTGAAAGGTCTACTCAAGCTAGACAGTGTGTGCATCGACAATAATGTCTTTCGATTGCACTATAAAGCAACCGTGATCGTACTAATCGCTTTCTCCTTACTTGTAACCTCAAGGCAATATATCGGCGATCCGATCGACTGCATCGTCGATGAAATACCGCCCCACGTGATGGACACTTATTGCTGGATCTATTCGACCTTTACAATCCCGAACCGTGGCGGCGTCGTTGGTATGGACGTTGTACAACCAGGTGTACGAAGTCACGTCGAAGGCGTCGACGATATTAAATACCACAAGTATTATCAGTGGGTATGTTTCACCCTCTTCTTCCAAGCGATACTCTTCTACGTGCCACGTTATCTTTGGAAAACTTGGGAAGGTGGCAGAATAAAAATGCTCATGCTCGATCTAAATTGTCCAGTTGCAAACGAGGAAACGAAATGCGAGAGACGAAAATTACTCGTAGATTATTTTGCCTTGAATTTGCATTCCCAAAACTTCTATGCATTCCGATTTTTCTTCTGCGAAATTTTAAACTTCATCAACGTAGTCGGACAAATATATTTCATGGACTTTTTCCTGGACGGAGAATTCTCGACGTATGGAGCGGACGTCGTCAAATTCACGGAATTAGAGCCTGAAGATCGGGACGACCCTATGTCCCGCGTTTTCCCGAAGGTCACCAAATGTACCTTCCACAAATATGGTGCGTCCGGTACCGTACAAAAATTCGACGGTCTCTGCGTTCTACCGTTGAACATCGTCAATGAGAAAATCTACGTGTTTCTCTGGTTCTGGTTCATTATTCTGTCGATTTTAAGCGGTCTTAGCTTGGCATATCGCGCTGCCGTCGTCGCAGGACCGAGGCTACGTTTGATGTTATTACGCACACGTTCTCGCCTATCAGAAAAGCACGACATCGAAACGATCGCTCAAAATTGTCAAATAGGCGATTGGTTCGTTCTTTATCAACTTGGTAAGAACATCGATCCGTTGATCTACAAACAGCTCGTATCCGACTTGGCCTTGAAGCTACAAGGTAAAGAGTCTGTTTAGAGCCAGTTTGTCGTAGGACATCATCATAGGGGTTATATTTTTTTGCTCAAGATCGTAAAAATCGATCTTACGGTGCAAAATGGGATCCCCCCAAGAACAACGAAAATATCCATTAATATCGTCGTTTTTTATCTTTGACGAAAGAAAAAGAAAGAGAAAGAAAGTCGAAGACGTATCATGGAAGATCTTTTCATGGAAGTCCCACCAATCGCAAGAGTCCTTTTCTTGCTCAATCCTCCCGTGATTTTTTTTTTCTTCCTTTAATAATCATGATGATTATTCGAATAATTTTTTCCACGAAAGGATTGAGCCATATCTATATAATGACACATGCTTCTCGATAGCGCTTTAAAAAAATAAAAAAAAAATAAAAAAATAAAAAAAAAAAGAACTGTTAATCAAACGCATAGCGCTGATTATTTTTGTAATCTTGCTTTCTTTTCTTTCTTTTTTCCACGCTTATTCTATTTTTCCGTTTGATTTATGATCTATCATAATTCTTATTTTACTTTGAGAAACGGACTCTTGCGATTGCCATTCGACAATCTGATCTATCCTTCGCACGTCGATCGCCTTATATAAAAAATTCTACAGGTAGATTCAGGCGATGAAAAAAGAACAAGAACAAGAGAAACAACTCATGGATATAGAATTTTTAAAAAAAAGAAAAAAAAAAAAAGAAAAAAAAGAAAAAAAAGAAGAAAAATGTACGTTAGATCAACGATTAGTTAGTTCGATCGCTTCTCGCCTTTCATACTGCGCCAAGCATATATAGAAAAAAAAAAAAAAATCTTGTTTTGCATTTGGTTCGTAAACTTTCGAACAAAATAAAAAAAAAAAAAAAAAGAAGGAAACCCCCATAGCATACATTATGGAGAAAGTGTGAAGGCTCTCGAGTAGCGATCGAAAAAACGATTTCGTATACGTCATCGTAGATATATATTTTAAGTATTTCTGGAACTCGTAGACCTTCGCCGGTCTCCGATCGTGTGATAAAATGGAGGGACGGCGTTTGTTCTTTTTTCTTCCTTTTCTCTCCCCCACTTTTCTATCCTTTTTATCTTCTTTTATTTTCCTTTCCTTTATCTTTTCACGAACCACCGGTACACTACTATGGTCAAGTTGTTCCATCCCAACCATCCTGTGTGTCCATCTCTAAAGATCCTTTTTTCCTTTCTTATCTTCTTTCTTCCTCATTGTTTGCTGCTTTACTTTAAGACTAAAATATTTGCACTGCCGATGGGACAACTCAAAGAAGGAAACGCGAAAAAGATTTTTTTTTCTCTCATTCTCATGACGTAGTGGATGTTATTGTCGCCGTTTAACATTCCATTCGTTTCTTTTTGATTTTTCTTACTTTTTAATCGCACGGATATATACGAGATTAATCTTTATATTATGTTTCAGGAAAACAGATAAAGTTTCTCGATGATATTCGTTTGGTAAAAGTAAGAGAAAAGAAAATAATGAAATCCTTCATCATTTAATATAATCTTATTTGATGAAGCTTTTCCATTTTCGCGTTACACGCCATTTTCTTCTTGGGCTCCTTTTACAGAGACCTCTGTTTTTCCCCACCACGCCGTCCTTCCAGAAAAGCGTTGTTCTTTTTTCCTATCAATTTTTTTTTTTTTTTTTTTTTTTTTTTTTATATAGTAAGCAATAGGATCATATTGTATTGTATATTGTAGGTCGTCCTTTATCTATACGGGAAAGATAAATATATATTATATATATATATATAAATATGAATATATAGTGAGACAGAGAGAGAGGCAGAGAGAGCATTTGTGTGAGTGTGTATGTGTGCGTGCGTATGTATGTGAGAGAAAGAAAAATGAAGATGTGTAGGAAGGAAAGAAAGAGAGAAATGAAAAAAGAGCAAAAAAAAAAACAAGAAAATATGTAGATACTATGATACTGATTATACATCTAATATACTTTATATCCGTCTTAGCTGAAAAGCAATATTGCATTCCACGCACAAAAAGACATAATATGTATGTACGTATTATCTTATGAACATAAAGCGAATGTTCATAAGGTTTTGCCACGTGTAATCGAGGGGCCAAAATAAGACGAAACGTTCTTCTTTTTCTAATATATATATATATTTGCATATGTATAGGGTGAACGCCTATTGCGTATTTACACGACAGTCGAATATTTGTATAACACACATATACACCTATTTGTATCTTGTATGTTTTTTTTTTTTCTTTCTTTTTTTTTTTTTTTTTTTGTATTATCTATACGACGACATAATAATTACCGTCCCGGCGTGCTTAGGGGGTTACCGGATAAATAAATAAACAAATAAAAGCGTTTAATTTTTAAGAACGTATTAATATGTTGCATACATACATACATATATATACATACATATATACATATATATATATATATATATATATCGTGCAATTAATTATACGAGTTCGACCAAGTTAGAGCGTAATATTTTGGAAAAACAAAATAGAATATTTTTGATAACCATATTGTTATAGATCTTACGACAAATAATGTAAACTATGATCGATCAAGGAAATAGAATGATCGATTAACAGTTAAAGAAGAATGTGAAGTTTGATAAATAATATACATACTATATATGACTTGTGATGATGTATATTGGAATACGTTATAAAGATTATTTGACATATTCGATAAAATATATTAGAATACGAGGAAGGAAGATGCGATAGGTTCTTTCTATCAATTTTCAAGGACTGGACCTGGTAACCCTTGAACCCACGCGTTTATGATCCTTTCAGAACATTCTCGAACGAGCGTCGCTCGTTTTTACGGCAAAGACTATGGATTGATAGAATGATAAAAAGAATTAAGATACTGCGAGATATAAAAAAAAAAAAAAAAAAAAAGTATTGTCAATTTTGCGCTTCTAATCAATGCGCCTTCTAAGACTGTCGAGAAACTAATCGAAAACACTCCATAATAATGATTTTCATGTTTTTCGTATGCCTTGTTTTGTTTCTTTTTCTTATTTTTCTTTTTCTTTTTTTCTTTTTTTTTTCTTTTTCCTTTTTTTCTCCCCCCCCTTTTTTTTAGATCATATACATCGAGCTACGAAGTCCTAAAAAGCATATGTCGGCGCAGATATTTTTCGAAAATATCCGGCGCGATATTTTTGCATAATTACTGTTGATAATCATAATAATAATAATAATAATAATAATAATAATAATAATAATAACAACAACAATAATAATGATAGTAATAATAATGAAGATAATGATGATAATAAAAAAAAAAAATTAATAATAATAATAGTAGTAATAGTAATAGTAATACTAGTAATAATAGTAATAATACGAAAAGTAAAAACCCTTAAGAGAGACCAAGCCATTTATTCTTCCTCCTTCGAGTTGTGCTTGCGACATTTATGACACGTTCGTTCTTCGTAAAGTGCCAACGTGTATAAGCATTCTTTTTTTATTATCATTTATTTGCGTTAGCAAGAAAAAGAGAGATACGTAAGTTGGAGAGCGATAAAAAACATATACACAAACGGATATATATATATATGTGTACATATATATTGTACCGAGTAAAGGAAGAAAAGGAAAAACAAAAAAGAAATGCAAAATTGCCAACCATAATCTTCGTCATTGTTCACAACTGTTGGAGCTCCGTGTATAGAAAGGAGGAAGGCAATACGATAATCGTTCGCATGTATTCGTGCCTTTGCTCGTGCCACTTGTTTAGAAACGATAAAAGACGAGATATAAATATATATATATATACATATATATATATATATATACATATAAGCATATGAATTTTTGTTTTTTTTATTAGATAAATAGATGACAATTTTGCTTTAGAGGACATCGATAAACGACAATGAAGATCATTGAAAAGGAACATCGCTCATCTTTTATCAACATAAACGTATCACCGTCATATAATTATCATCGTCATCAACGTCATCTCGTTATCGTCATCGTCATCGTCATTATCATCATCATTATCATCATCATAGTCATCGGTCTTTCCCCTTTTTTGCATCTTTTTTCTGTTCCCGTTCGTCGACGTAATATTTGACGAAATATAATGATTGTGGTAATAGGTACATACATTGTAGCTAATAAGTGACGTTAGAAGAAAAAGAACCGCAAGAAAAAAGTGAGACAGAGAGAGAGAGAGAAAGAGAGAGAGAGAGAGAAAGAGTGAGAGAGAAAGAGAGCGAGAGAGAGAGAGAGAGAATGTAATTTCTGCGATAATAGAGAATTTGTATTTAGACGTGTAAGTAATCGAAGAAAGGATCCGTGTCCTTTTTTCTCTTTTATTTTATTTCTTTTTTTTTTTGTCCTTTTCCCTTTATTTCTTTTCCTTCCTTTTAACGATTCTACGACTTCGGGGGACTCGTCGTACCGATTTTGTAGAGAAAAATCGCACTTTTTTTACATATATATATATATTTTTTTTTTCTTCGTGGCAGCTCTAAGAACGACCGGTGGTAGTCCGCGAAAACAATAATTTCCATCGTTCAATATGCCCAAGTTTATGTTGTACACTTTAATACGAATGTTCTTTGTAAAATTAAAGAAATAAATATCAGCGAAATAAAATAGCCTGAATCTTTGTTGAATTTGTGTACGTTTCAAGACTATGGTATTATACATATAGCGAGTGCGCAATGTGCTGATTAAGAGAAAAAAAAAAAAAAACCATTAACATTTCACGTGTCGTCGTATGATTCGACGTTAAAGACGTGTTCTGTATTAGTTTAATTCTCTTTCTTTTTAGAAAATGATCGATAGTAACAATGCCCTTAATTCTCAAAATTCGTTATTTCATTATATTTTTTTAGGTTGATGATATATTAAGTAAATATGTCAATGAATGGATTATGATTTATCAAAATTGTAGTATCTGTGTGTGTCCCGTAACAAAATTTGTTCAAAGTAAGTACAAATTAATTTGATTTTATCTATATTCTTAATCTCTCACTTTTTATCAGCAAGATATAATCACGAAATTTATTTCAATTTCTCACGACCGTACACTCGACGAATTTTCATCGAAATAATTTTCGAAATAACGCTTCGTCGTTTATATATACGTATACCACGATAAAATGTTCGGAGTCGAGAGACTGGTTATACGAGTTCGTTGCTTAAAAAGGTCGAACGGTGGTAAAGGAAAGAGAGAAAAAAGAATAAAAGGACGAGGGAATGTTGGACGACGTCGCGTTTATCTCGATGTATTATCGATCTCCGGTTAAACAGAGGGAGAGAAAGAGAGAGAGAGAGGTTTAAACGCAGGAACGACCTTTGGCTGAATTCTAAAGAGTATATAAACGAATGACCCTGCACGATTCCTACCTACACATTGTTGAGATTCATTACGTGGATCGGCGTCGATCACGTAGGTGCATGTGCAACATGGGGGAACATTTATACGTGCGTGTGCTCCGGTTTGCGATTAACGATCAGGAGCAAAACTGCGATTCTCTTCCCCCTTCTCTTTATCTCTCTTACTCTCACTCATGTCCAGGCAACATTTGAGGGTCGAACAATTTCAGGTCCCCCCCCGTAACATGGACGGATTAGGGTGCTGCTGCTAAGAGGAAAATTATTGTATTGCCGCTATAGTAAAATTAATGTCTATTACTCCAATGTTAACTCTGATCGTATTATGAATTTAACGACATTACGTTCTGTTATAAATCTTTATTATTATTATTATTATTATTATTATTATTATTATTATTATTATTATTATTATTATTATTATTATTATTATTATTATTATTATTATTACTATTATCATTATTATTATTATTATTATTATTATTATTATTACTATTATTATTATTATTATTATTATAATTTGTCTACCGTCATTTCTACTTTCTACGGTTTAAACGCGATTACACGCGGTAAAACGATAAGTGAGATCTATATCTATGTTTCTACGACGGATGTTAAAGAATTATAGTCATAACTGAGAAATCGGACCGAGGTCGTAGTCCGATTAGGTTAACGATTACCGTATGATGAACGGTATCGTATAACGATACACGATCAACATTAACGTAATCCATATTTTTCTAACTTCACGCAAAGCTTCTACTTTTACGATCTTGAAATGTGAGTGGGATGTGGAAAATCTAGTGATCCAAAGATAATTATATTCTGATCACGAAGACCGAGACGACAGGGTCGAGGTTGCCGATGTTACTTCGAAGAAACTTGATTGGACGTCTTTTTCTATTCTTTAACTAGATATGGAACCCGTGCTACCGGTATTTAAAACTTCCTCTTCTTTGAGTATATCTTTGCCTTAGGGAAATATTCTAGAAAACGGATGTGCTTATAACGAATACGCTTTCTTTTTATTTTGCTTTCTTTTTTGCTTCTTTTTTTTTTTTGTGATAAAAATATCCTTATTATTTGTCAAAGAAAAAAAAAATTAAGAGACATGTTGTTAGACCGAAAGGGAGATTTTATTTGATCACGTTTCGACTAAAAACACGGTAAAATATGAGCTTAACGAGTTAACGTTTTCTACCTTTCACCGAGTCCAGCTTTGTTCATACGTGCTACATGAATGTATGGATAAATGTAATCTGTGTGTGTGTGTGTGTGTGTGTGTGTGTGTGTGTGTGTGTGTGTGTGTGTGTGTGTGTGTGTGTGTGCGTGTATATATGTACATACGGACGGTAGACGAAGATTCGTAAATGTGAAAGAGAGAAAGAAGAAAGAGATTGTGAGAGCAAACGAGCATAGGTACCGAGTAGGTATCGAAGATGACGACGACAACGAAGAAGACGACGACAAAGCTCGGCGTGCACGTAAAGGAACGAAGAAGGGAGAGGACAGGATCTTCTTTGGAATACTCGTTCGTTCTGTTGGCTCGGCCTGGCCTGGCACGAGGGCAACGGCCGGTCAAAGTCCCTCCACCTTCGTAGCTGCACGCGCTTCATGGCCTTCTTCGTTTCTCTCTGCTTCTTCTCTGCTTTACAGGACTCTCTTACTAACTCAGCCTCCTCCTCTTCTTCTTCTTCTTCTTCTCCTCGATTCTTCCAACGAAATCTCTCATAGTCGTATATTTACGATTATTTACCTATCTATCATACTGGGCATATATTCAAACAAAACAAAGGGGGAGGGCGGGGAAAACGTTCGTTATATTCCGATTAAGATTTTATATTTATCGATATCAATTATATAAGATTCGAGATTCGATTTGCATTATTTATCATAAATTTTCATATTCCAAATAGTATCGTTGAGGTTAGGAACAAGTACCTGTTAATTAGCACGTAACTTTATTTCGGAGAATTATATTTCCCGTGATCGATAACAAAATACCTTGGTATTTTATCGATATGATTTCGAAATTACTCGAGCTTTTTTCGTTCTCTGTATGGAATCATCATTCCGGACAATCATAGAATACAGTAATAGAAGTATTAATAGGGACGACATCTTATCTTTATTTGTTTTCCATTTTGAAACTCACCGCGTATTATTAAATTATAAAAATGTAAAAGTTTCATGACGAGATAATATAGAATGGTAAAAAAAATACTCAAGGAAATATTATATTCTATATCAAAACAATTGTCCGACGAAGAAACCTATAGGAATATTTGTTTACATTATTTTGTTTTTATTACTAGATTAGTAAGTCAAGTAATTATTATCATCCTAGTAACATCTATATCTAACAATAACAGAAAAAGCAATATACGTTAAACCTTGGTATAAATTACATTTCGTAATCTTTACTACCGGCATAATACAGTTTATAATATACATAATAACGTGTGCTAGCCAATAACAATTTGACCCAGAAATCTATGCTTTTACGCCCATCGTGGAGATTATAAACGATAACTGATTACCGTCGAATGAAACAGAAATCGGTGTTATAGATTAGAGAGGAACAAAAAATGTATGATAAGCCATCTTAATCAAGATAACGAGAAATCATGATCAAATATTTTTCCGCTTACATTGATTAATCGAACGTATTAGATGTCGAAGAAAATCAAAGAATATTTCAATGAAAGATAATTTCAAAGAATAAATTTAATTAAATGAAATTTTTGAATACGTTAAAGATATTTTACGATGTGTGTATACATAATTTAGCATATAAATGTAACGATATAATATATATATATATAAATAAATATGTAGATGTGTAGACATTACTGATACTAAACTTACGTTGACAATGACAAAGAAGACATAAAGCTCTGTTAAAAGATTCAACGACAATGTAACTATCGTAAGCCATTGTACTTACGTATTTTATCTCTCTCTTTCTCTCCCTTTCTATTGTATTTTTTGTATTCTATCTATACTACTAAAGGCTTTATCTTTCTTATCTCTAGTTATACACACCATCACACAATAACGTTACCTCACTCTTCGAAAGATAGCCACATTTTTTGACTTACATATTAGACACTTGAGAAGGCTGCTGCGCAATCGTCGTGCTGGTGATAACGTCGTTCATGAGATTCGATGTTGGTCGAAGAGCTCGATCACCTTAACTCCGTTGATATTACTAAGAGCGAAGAAACATAAGTTCTGTTTCTTATGGCAACGTCTTTACGCGTTTACGAATGTTAAACATTCTTTCCGTCGCACGACTTTACTATCAGACCAACGAAGAAGGAAAAGGAGAAGAAGAAGAATTATAAGAAGAAGAAGAAGAAGAAGAAGAAGAAGGAGGAGGAGAAGGAGGAGGAGGAGAAGGAGGAGAGGAAGGAGAAGAAGAAGAAGAAAAAAAAAGGAGAAAGAAAAAGAAAAGGAAGAAGAAAAACAAAACCGCTTAATAATCATATTCTCGTGGACAGACACGACAGTAAATTACGTTAAATCTTCGTGCTGCATTCTCGTTGCATTCTAGTAATGGCGGCAACGTTTCTGTCAACGTTTTCTGTCCTAAAGGATCACGTAAAACTTAAAGTAGCCGAAGATTCAGCAGCTATTGATAATATTGGTAAATGCTCTTAATGTCTGCGTTCTTGAAGAATTCGTGTTTATCGTATATAACAGCTTATAAATCTGTTAGCTCTATTAGTTGATAAACTAAAAGTGTCATAGATCATGAGGTCATCTTTATCGATATATGCCACATGTGCTTGTGTATTATTTGTGTATTCGATCGTATTTATATATATCTTTCGTATATATATATATATATATATATATATATGAAATAAAAGATAAAAAAAAATAAGCAAAAATTTATTTTTGAAGAGAGAAAATAATTTTTTTTTCTTATTTTTTTTTTTTTTTTTTTCAGTTTTCAGATTACACTACAGGGTCACATTTTTGGCGTTGCTCGTCGGTAGTCTTTTGGTGTCTGCGAGACAATATATCGGCGAACACATAAGGTATAATTTTGTAAATAAAAATCGTTTATCTTTTAAATATTTATAAATATATAGAATAGAAAATGTATTGAACACATGTGTAAAACTTTTTTTTTCTTTTTTTTTTTTTTTTGGAAACAGATGCATAGCCGATTCATCGATAAATCCACATGTTATAGAAACCTATTGCTTCTTTACGTCGACTTTCACCGTGGTAAGTCTTAAGAACGTTTATATTTAGTTATGCGTGGAATGACGATTCCTTTCATATCCGAGCGTCCCGTGAAAACGAAAGTCTTGTAATCTGTTACACGAGCAATTACGTACGTTCCTTATCGATGCAACGAATTTACTCATAGGTGAAGCATATGAATGCATCGTACGTGAATGAAGGAGAAATTCCACATCCTGGAGTTGGACCAATTGGGAAAAATGATGAGACTGTTCATCATGCGTATTATCAATGGGTGCCTTTTGTTTTATTTTTCCAAGCTCTTCTCTTTTATTTACCACATTACATATGGCGAAAGACAGAAGGTAAGTTATTAATATCGTCTTGTATGAATTTGATAAAAATATATCTTATTACGATACAAGAACATTATATTTGTGATAGTTGAACGTTTAATAATGTAATTCGATTGTAAAAAAAAAACTACTGCGATTACATGAAGTTTATTTAAATGTGAAAGATTTCATGACAATTACTCAGCTGATATCATTTATAATCATACTTTACAATATTTCTTTAAAAAATGATATGAAGATGAATAATACTATCAGTTTGACGATTGTTACCTCGCTCGATTTCTCTGAATTAACAGAAGCGTTGAAATTTAAAGACTTAAACAGAATTTTCAAGATATCTATATTCTTAGTAATATATTGAAGATATGTGTGTGTGTGTGTGTGTTTAGGTGGTCGTTTGAAGAATTTAGTCTCGGGTTTACATGTGGCTTGCTTGGGTTTGCATGAAACGGCAATGAAGGTCAATGATAAATACCAAGTGCCATCGAAAAACGATGTTGACCAAAAGATACAAAAAATTCGAAAGGCATTTATCGAACGTATTTACATCAATCGAACTTGGTCTTATTATCTCACTTTTTGTGAGATATTAAATTTCATTAATGTTGTAACGCAAATTTATTTGACCAATTGGTTCCTTGGTGGAGCCTTTATGAGTCTTGGTAAAATTATTGGAGACAAAAGTTACAGTGGAAAAATGGAGCCACTCGATATTGTCTTTCCCAAGGTATGAATCATACTTTCTTTATCTTTTTTCATTTAGATATTTTCTACGTGTTTTAATGATTCATAGGTAACAAAGTGTACATTCCACAAATATGGTTCTTCGGGTACGATACAAACTCACGATGCTCTTTGCGTGATGGCATTGAATATCATTAATGAGAAGATCTATACATTCCTGTGGTACTGGTTCATTATTCTATCCTTCATCACTTTGCTTGGGCTTATTTGGAGATTGATAACGATGATATTACATGCTAGGTTGGTAATTATCTTTTGATCTTTTTATAAAAATATTTTTTACGATTTTCAATTATATTTTATTTCTTTAGAAGTGAGGCGTTTAACAAAATTCTTTTCTCCATGGCCTGTCCTGGGAAATATAATCCTTGGAACGTAGTTAGAGTTACTCGGGAATATCATTTTGGAGATTGGCTCTTTTTGTATTATATCGCCAAAAATTTAGACAATTATGTGTTCAAAGATCTCTTAGAAAGATTAGCTCAGGATCTCGAAAACATAAATCAAGGACAATACTATAAGACGACTTTCTTAGACGTCGAAGAGTATCCGTTGCAGGAAAAATCGAAGACTTTGGATATTGAGACTTCTTCATAATTATTCGATCGAATCGAAGTATGTAAATGATTTAATTATCGCTGGGATGTGCTTATATATTTATATTGATAAGACAATATATTTTTAATTTCGAAAGTGCCATACATATATATTGTTATAAAGAATGATATATCGCGAAGAGACCAAATATTTTTAGTGAAAATATTATATAAAAGGGAATTTTTCTCGACGACGTAGAATAATTTTGTTCAAGTATTACACGTACGCATTTGTTTTTTTTTTCTGTCGGATAAATAAAAAATGAAAGAAAAAAGAAGAAAAAAAAGAAAAACATGGGAAAGATATTAAACGGGATGTGCATGTTACGAAGAAACGTGTTCATTTAGTGCCAGTTCTGAAAGTGGTGTTCTTAACACAATGGCTTGCCTGTTGAGAGGGGTTGACGCAGCGAAAAACGGAACTTAAGAATGCGAATCGAATGGGAAGAAAACAAAAGAGCCGAACCCTTTTCTAACAGCCATCTATGGTCCTTCGAGTTCCCTCTTTCGACTCTCGAAATGAGCCCTTTTCTATTTATCACTTCCATTGTACTTACGTACCAACGAAAGAAACGATGGACCGATTTTTATGAGAACCAGTCGGCTTTGAGCTGCCTTCTTTTAATCTTTTCTTCGTAGCTGGCTCGTAAAATAAAAAAAGAAAAAAAAAAGAAAAAGATAAAAGAAATAAAAAAACAAATGAAAAAGAACGTTCGTTTCGATGATTAGCAGAGTTGTCCTTGAAATTAGACTTTCAACGAGTCCATATCGCTAAATGAAAAAAAAAAATCCTCTCCTTGCTCAGTTTATTTCACGAGGGAAGACTAGATTAACGAGCTTATTTGTTGTGACTCGATCATGATCTCCAATCTTCTTTCAGCTGCCTTAAGCCCCCATTCATACGATCTTACTTTGTTAAAATCTTCTTAGGCGTATCTTACGACGAAGTATTTTTTTTATTTTTATAATCTATTTTTTGTTCTCTCTGATACCTTCTAAAACGATCTTAGCGAAGATATTGCAGTGTTATGTATAAAGAAAAGAAAAAAAAAATATACAAATATATAATATCAGTTGATGTTTGTAAAGTAATTTGAGAACCTTTTTTTTAAGTATTCGTTCCATTTCAAACTATTACTCGAAACACGTAAGTTTGTTTTCCATGTTCACGAACGTGGCCAGATTAAAACGTTGTATCGCGTGACAGTATCAAGAAGAAAGCTTAAATCGCTATTTGCGTGTCAATGCTCTTACACAGTCAAAGACATTCTTTTTGTACGTGCGTTAACTTGACGACATTTAAAATACAAGAACGTACGCATATGCGTAGCAGGTAAGTATACGTTGCGTTGATTCCTTAAGCGAGTCTCTCTATAGTTAAGATCGTTAAATCGTTAAGATCGTTGATATAGACATTATGCATGGTGACCTATAAATTCGAAAGTAATTGACGTACGTTAAATGCGTCACTTATGTACATTCTAATACTACGATAAATTAAAATACGATTAATTACGATAAATCCTGAATAAATATTTTCGAAATAAATGAGAATAATTTTTAATTAGCAATAATTAAATTACGCTTGAAAATAAACGTTAGAAAAAATTTATATGCGCGTACGTGACTGTGTATGTATCTGTGTATGCATTCAGAAAAGAAACTGTGAATCAGACAGTGGAATCATTCTTCAAAGATCTTCTAAAAAGAATGAAATCCTTTTTCAATCACGTAATAAGAGATATCTAAGGGTCACTAAAGCTAATTATATCTAATCTATACGTAGAAAGTATGGAATTTCACTTGGAAATCAATTTCAATTCTTCCGTCTTTTAGCGTTATTAGTCACGAATAACAGAAAGGATAAAGTTCCTCTGATTGACAGCGATCATATAGAAAGCTACGATAAATCTATCGACGAATCAACAACGATTAATTATCCTTGATAACGAATGAAGTATCGGTGGGAACGAACACTTAATTAAAATTGTGATTTATCGAGAGAGTAAATTGGAATTGTAGGGGAAAAATTTCAATATTATCGAGAGAATATTTCCAAGTCTACGAGTCTCTGGGTTGCGTTATATACTTAAATATATATATATATATATATATATATATATATATATATGTACATAGGACACGTATATAACTGTAACTCAGCCCCTTGACTCGGCATGGTTGGGTCTCACGAGTTCAGGTATTATTCATATGAAAGGCCCGCGTGGGCCGTATCTCGGTGGTCCCTCGAACAAAGACCGGCTTTAGTTGAGGCTATAAAAGCAGAACTCTCGTAGAGATGCTAGAGAAGTCTGGAGAGCAGCTGGATGCTTTCTCGTTTGAGTTAGTCTCCTCCTTTAGAGCCCTTAGTCTTTTCTGCGTGGGCGGTTGACATTGCTCTCAGCTCTCATCGGACTAACTTTCGAAAATCGTATCTCTCTTTCTATCTCCCTCTCTCTTTTACCCTCTCTCCTCTTTCTCTTTCTCTTTCTCTCATTTTTTTTCTTTCCAAATCGAATGCGTTTTTCTAAAATTCCATTGGAATTCCTTCGAAGTAATTTGCATGAAAAAAGAAGAAAAAAAGAGAAGAAAAGAAAAGAAAAAGAAAAAAAAAAAAAGAAAGAGAAAAAACGTTCGTGTTCAACAAAAGACAAGTCGACGAACTTGTAAACTTATTATTCTTGATTTGTCCAAGCTCGTGTAAGATGGCTTTCTGAACGATCCTTCTGTCTCTGATCGGTTCTCCTTTCTTTCTTTGTTCCAATCCAGCTTCCTTTGTGATTCTAACAGCTCGTATATGTACTCACTATGCATACCAATGTTCATACGTAGCGCCCTATTCGAAACAACAGAAATTGCTCGTCTAGATGTTTTTAAAGGAGTTTTTGATATTACGAAAAGAACAATGCCTCCTTGATGAATTATTCTTTCGAATGCTTTTAAGAATAGAAAGTTTCAAAATAATAGCTATTTCTTGATGAAATATTGAAGACATATATATATATATATATATATATATATGGATTCTACTTGTCCGTGAATAAAGTTCGTGAGGAGACTTAGTGAACATCGATTGGTAGGATATATCTGAGCGAGACATCAGGATGTGTATCTTGTGGTTCTTCTGCGAATAAAAAAAATGGCTTCGTTCGTCGATGATCGAGAATGATCATAGTAGAAAAAAAAAAAAAGAAAAAGAAGTAAGAGAAGAAGGATCGTTTGATCTTCAAATACACATACGTATATATTCATATATTTATATAGATGTTTATATACGTATTTTCTACTATGTGTTTGTCGCATGATTTCAAATTCCTTCTTCTTCAACGAGTTTGGCCCGTGCTTATAGAGTGAAACCGGTTTGAAAATTTATCTTCGAAACTATACTATACGCTTTCGCGAGATTCCACTTGTACAAGAGAGGAACGTTAAACCAATGGAATCGATCAACTCGAAACAAAATTCGCCTTTTTTTTTTACTACTAAACTTTTATACTTATATACTTTGTGATTTTTATTTTTTTCCTTCAATGTTCAATGTTCATATTTTTACGAGCTATAAATCATTAATTCATCAACGATTTCTATTTTCTGTTGACATATTGACACTGGAGGATAGAAGTTGTTTAGGCATGTCTCGTAAACTTTACTACTACGTTAATTATTTCATGTTGTAAGTAGGACGCCAGATGTATTGCTCTTCTTTGAGTATATCTCCGTCAACGATTCATTCGGACAGTAACGTCATTTCATTATCACATGTATTATACATACACACAAAGAGATATATGCACATACGATTTCCATAAATCTATAAACATTATGCAAATCTTATAGGAAGTCGTCTATGTAATAAGTCTCCTTTGCAATTATATTTTGTTACTTAATGCAATATTCTCAAGGTCGAGTCAAATAAATTATAATTTGTTAATTAAAAAATATGCATTATTTATACACACACATATATATATATATATATATATATATACATGATATATTATTGAATATGTGATCGTAGATTATTTCTAAAGCACCCAAAGAGAAGAACCATCCGCAGACTCGACATACATTCGTCACAATTGACACGATTGACCCGCAGAGGTTCTCAACGTGTAACATCCAACGAACCGGTTTGACCGGGTCTAACAAGTACATTCCAAAGATCAGTGCGCACGCGTGTTCTCCAACGCTATGGAACATCTTATGATCATGATTCGAGTGATGATTTATAATATACAACTTACATAGCTTGTAAAATTTTAGATAACTTTCGATTTCATTTATTTACGTGTTTTTGATATTTATAGTAATATTTATATATGATAGAAAAAAAAATTATGTTCACAACAGGATGTTATTATTACATGTGACTCTTATAGTACATATTTACAATGAAATCTCATCATTGTAATATTTCCTTCGAGTGATCTCTAAACACGTAGGTAATCAATGAGAAACACACTCATAAAGAGGACGAGCAACGAAGTGATATCATGTTAGAAATCAATCAACGTTTTCATGAGAATCATAGTTAATGATTACCACATAAATTCTGAGAATAATAACAGTTGAAAATTATCCATGTCAATAGTTTTACCGTCGTTTTTTCTAATGCACGATAACGATTAACACTCGTAGGTGATGAAATGATCAATGTCCCTTACGTTGAAAGGACTATGTAATAAATTTGAAAACTCATCTAGATAGACAAAAATCTATGGACATATGTAATTACATTTGAGGAAAGAGCAATTTTTCGGTAGAATTGGTACGTCACAACTGGCTCATTGTCATTGGTCATAGGCGGACTCTAATTAAGATAATTGTGTCTAAGGACGTAGAATATAGAAACACGCGAGCAAGCGAGCGAACAAACGAGAGATAGAGATAGAGATAGAGATAGAGATATATAGAAAGAGAAAGAGAGACAGAGAGAGAGAGAGAGAGAGAGAGAGAGAGAGGGAAAGAGAGAGCTAGTGTGAGCAGTTTTCACAGTAGGGGAGCGTAGGACGTTGTTGAGCTGTGGTTCGTCCATCGACTTTGATATATCGTTCTTTAGTGCGTTTATAAATAGATACCGAGGATATAGATTTGCATAGAGTTCGGAGTATCAAATGACAGGGTTACTTTAGAGGTGCATATGTATTTTACTGTTCATCATGAACGAAAAGAGGCAGCATAATTTAAAAATAATTATCGTTTCTAAAATAATTATATTTTACTATGTATCTAATGATTTTTGAATCTTTGAAGATCATGTACATGATTAATATATGTATCTTTTAATAGAATTATACTTTCTTAATTAAAATATATTCCTACATACGTTATAGATCGCGTTACTTAAGCTTGTTTCTTTGGAATTATGTATGTAGATAGCATCGAAGTTACGATGACGGTGCCGTCACCTTATAAAATAGAAAGATCAAAAAGCGTACAACGATAAGTCGTTTATCGCAAAACCATAATGTAAACTGTTTCATTACGAAAGATCCTTTTGGTTTTTAAAGTTTATAAATATTTTATGTTGGTTTTTCTTTTCATTTCCTTCTTTTTTTTTTCTCCTTTAAATTACATTTTTATTAAGCAAGTCCTGAAAACCAAAATTACTTCAGTATCTAATATTATCGATGAGAAATATTTCTTATTTATTCGTTAATAATTATATACATTATCTACTAAGATTTTATTCAAACATCGTCGACTAAAGTTAAACGACACTACGTTTCTTACCATATTTGAAATCGTCCTTGCAGAGTTGAGGAAGACGGATATCGTAATCGTCAAGATACATAGACGGTCGACGAAAAGCATACAATATCGCGTTGCTTTTCTGAAGCAGAAGTTACAACTGTTGCATCATGCTGCACATCTGGTCCGTGAACTGCTTCTGGTACGGTGAAGAGGACGCGGGAACATTAGCATATGCAGCCACGTAGGTAGGCAGGAACTCGCCTTGCGTTTGCCTGTTGAAAGAAACATTTCATCATCATTAAAATTATAAATGTTAATAAAAATGCATTCGATATTATTGCAGATATTTGTTGAATTCTAAAAAAAAAACGTTTAAACGTCCATTCTCCATATATAAATGAAAAATATAATTTCATATATAAAATACATAACCTAAAATATTATATTATAAACTTAAGATTAAATATTCCTTGGATAATTTTTTTTTTTTCGAACTTTATGATGATCCATTTAATTACATAATCGATTAAAAATTTTATCTATGAATAACTATATGATCGTAAATAAAAATGAAATAATATAAACAAAAAGGGATGACGTATTATTCGTATGAAACTTAACGAGAACGGAAGGATGATGTAGGTTAACGGAATTTTTATTCTTCTGTGATTTCATTCAGTTCAGATGGATTTAAATTCATGATTCAAGTGTGATTAGCAAGAATTAAAATTTACGATGACTTAAAGCTCGTATGTACACAAGTATGTGTATACTTATAGATTTATGTATGCCTATCTTCTTCTGTAGGCATCGTTAGTCATCGTTGTTTTGTAGTACTCCGATGATCGGTAGATAGTATGTGGTATGTTAAAAAGAAAAAGAAAAATAAAGAGACTTATGGAACAGGAGAAAGCAAAACCACAGAGCCAGTATTCGTCGTTACTGGATGTGAATTCAAGGAGACCAAAGAAAAAAAGAAAGAAAAAGAGAGAGAGAGAGAGAGAGAGAGGGGGGGGGAGAGTGAGACAAGGAATTTAGGACATTTCAAATGGAACTTTTGAAAAGTTTTTCCCCGAAGGACCTTTGAACAAGGTGATTAGTTATCGTTAGATCTACGTGAGATCTGTAAAGTATTAAAATTTAATACTTTCTACGAAGATAATTACAAAAGCCTTGGATAGTACTATTTACCGAAGATATACGTTATTAAGTAATTAGAATGATTTATTATATTTTCATAAACAAGAACAAATTTCATTGAATTTTTATCGATTCGTTTATAATTATAGATATATTCATGTAAACAAAATTTAAACATACCAATATAATCGTTGCCTTTAAAATTAAGAGACAGAAAAAGTCAACGTTTTTTTATCGTCGATATAAATATACACAACACCATCACACACACATATATGTACACATACACATACACGTGCGCGCGCACGACAGTAACACGTGTTTCATATATTTTTACATATGGGTACAGTTGCCAGACTGACTTTCTATATTTTTTTCCTCCATAACAATTTCATTTATTCGAGCGAAAAATTCTAAAGGTTTTTAAGAACATAACCAATGATTTTAATGGTTTTGTATCTACTATAAATCCAATCGAAAATCGTTATAATTTATAAACTTAAAAAAAAAAAAAAGGATTATAAAGGTTACTTTTTCATATACATTTTAATGTTATATACCTTCGATAGCTGGCAGCACCAACTTCATCTCCTAAGATAGATTCACTCCATGGACAAATCTTAATATTATTTTCTGCATAATTTTTCTTTGTTTTTCTTTTTTTTTTTCCTATTAATTTATTTAAAATAAATATTGGAATATTGAAATAATTTTATATAATTTTCTTATTTCTAATAATTATACTTATTATTCAGATCGATAGGAAAAATATATAAACACTAGGAAAGCTTTTAACCGTTGGAAAATAGTAAATTTAAAATTGAAGTAAAGGATTGGTTCGTTGAGTGATCAGTTCCGGAAGTGACCAATCAAGTATCTATGTATCATGATGAAGAATAAAAAGGTATATCAATAGATACAATCGATTTAATCGGATAGATCATCATCTATCGTATAGATATATGAGACGACGTTTCGTATTAATTTTTTAATCGATCCGAGAAGAGATAATAATCGTTAAAATTAATGAATTAAACATAACGATCGTTAATTTTTCTCGATATCGCCATGACTCCTACTTTCTTTCGCCTACATAGAATACGAGGAGAAAAGCCCTTATGTGTATATCGATGGACGACCGATGCGTGGAACGAAGAAAAAAGTCGAATCTAACGGTAATAACAAAACATGTTAGCGCACACATTTCGTTTCGTGTGTAATGTATTGGTAACAAAAGAGACAGAGAGATAGAGAGAGAGAGAGAGAACGAGAGAAAGAGAGAGAAAAAAGAAAGGAAGAGAGACAGTAGACATACGTAGCGTATTGTATGTAGTTAAAAAATATGTAGACGAGGTGGGAGAGATCACATCTGGTTCCCCTCTTCGTTTCGTGCCCTTCCCCTCTCTTTTTCTCTCTTGGACGTGTTCCCTCTCCGTAAAAGTACGACGAGCCCCCGGCATCCGCAGTCGAGCCCCTCTTGCGCTACCGATTTTCTCCCCTCCCCCCGTTGCGACGAGAAACAACAAACGATCGCAGTGTGTTCCTCGCCAGTCGCCGTTCGAGAGTACTGGTACGCGCGTTAAACTACGTGCGTATTTACGGCACGTATTTACGAAAGAAAAAGAAAATAAGAATTAAAAAAAAAGAAACTTTTAACAGAAGAGAATCAGGACGATTTCTTTACGCTTATGTTACATATCTTGTCGGCGGCGGCAGCTTTCAAAGGAATAAAACTCGATTCACGGCGCGATCGCGGCGAGTGAAAGAAAAAGAAAGAGAGAGAGAGAGAGAGAGAGAGAAAGAGAAAGGAGAATGGGGGATATAGAGAAGGAAAGAGCGTGAGGGTAAACCTATGGAGAAGGAGAAAGAGAGAGAGAGAGAGAGAAAGAAGAGGGGGATAGTCTGGACGTAGAAAGGGAGGAAAAGAGGGATAAATACGACGAGAGGGAGGAGCAGTAAAGGATAGGTAACGAATCGGTAGTTACACAATTTCATATTATTTCTATACTTTTTAAACGACTCAAACGATATATAAATAACCGATATATAAATATATATTATACGATTTATTATACAAGATTTTTCGGGGATAGAGAGACGAAGAAAAACGAGGTAGATGGTAAATTTAAAAAAAAAAGAAAAAGAAAAAATGAACAAAAATAATAATAAAATTAAAAAAATAACGTTAGTAGAGTGTACGTTTTTTTTTAAATAAGGGAGAGAAAAATAGAAAGAGAAAGGTTCGAATGTATTGCGCGTTTGTCGCATTAGTCGGAAGAAAAGAGAGAGAAGCGAAAAAAAAAGAGAGAGAGAGAGAAAGAGAATACAGTCTGTCGTTCGCGCGCCAGAAACTTCGATTCGGACGTTCTCGGTTAAACTCGGTTTTATCCGGCTCGCGCCGTGCATAGGGCAGCACGTGTTCGAAAAATACATCGGTACGGGCAAACGAGTCCCGATTCGTGACGACGCGGTCGGTTGTGCGTTCACGAGTGGTGGTTGCTAGTAGCTTAGGCTTTATATCTCTCTATTTCTCTCTCTCTCTCTCTCTCTCTCTTTCTCTCTCTTCTTTTGCTTAGCTTTACGTTCGCTGACCTCTATCGTTTCATCATCGTCTTCTCTTCGTCGTTGCTCCGTCATAGACGTCATTCGTGACCGAGGTCTTGTCTCCTTGTCGAGCGAGAAGAAATAGAGAAAGAGAGAAGAAGAAGAAGAAGAAGAAGAAGAAGAAGAAGAAGAGGACGACGCGCTCGAGCGTGGTGAAGGGCAACGAATGGTAAAAGGGAGGGGGAGGAAGAGAGAAAAGAAGAGGGAAAAAGGATCGTCGTTTGTTGTTCGCTTTCCGAGAAGAAAGAACTAGACAGACACAGTGGCAAAAGGGGGATTGATTTCCAAGTTTTCGAACGATTTTGTTAAACGGTTTGTTACAAGGGAGGGTATTGTCATTATTTTATATATGTGTTAGAATCTTTTCGTTAGAGGGAGGGAGACAAAGAGAGAGAGAGAGAGAGAGAGGGAGGGAGAGAGAGAGAGAGAGAGAGAGAGGAAGAAAATTTCGATCAAAAGTGATTAACGAAGAAGAACGATCATGTTTAGGCTTTTGGGTGGTCTAGCCTATTATCTCAAATGGCAAGAAGTCTCCACCGTATCTTTGCTCTTTCGCATACATAATAACTTTACTTCGGTGGTGCTTTTAACTTGCTCAATAATAATCACCGCGAATCAGTTCGTTGGAAATCCAATCTCATGTATCGTCGGTCATGGCCTGCCACAACATGTCATCAACACCTACTGTTGGATAACCTCAACGTTCACGATGCCGGACGCCTTCAGTCGACAGGTGGGTTTACGCTTCTTTGCAATTCACCCTTTTATTTTAATATCGCACTCTTTTCTTTTCCTATTTTTTTCTTTCTTTCTTTCTTTTTTCTTTTTCTTTTTTTTTTTTTTTTTTTTGAACGACCCGCAATTTTCTTTCCTTTATCCCCACCCTTTATCTCTCCCTCCCTCCCTCTCCCCTCCATTTATGATACCCTACGTTCTTTCTTACTCGTGATAAATGTTATTTAGGTTAAATTTTCTTTTCATAATCAATCTCTGGAAGAGAGCATTCATATGTGTCAATATGCTTATAACCATTACTAAATAACTTAATAGAATGTATCCATTCAACAAAGGTAATGGCGAGTGGTCACGTTTGAATTGAGATTTATTTCAATAAGCAATGCCGTTAGAAGTTATTTATCGATTGTTTTAAGTTTCTTTGGTATACGAATAATTAGTATAAAAAAATGTTCTCCACTCTTCACGTTCGATTTCATTTTCGAAAGTAACAATTTGTCATTGTGATTAATCGTTGAAATTTTTTTTTTTTTTTTTTTTCTACATTAATTATTCTATAACGATCGAATCAGATCAATTCGCGACATATTGGTCAACGAGAAAGTGTATCTATTAAAAATGTACGACTAAGGATCGAATTCAACTACTTTTAGGATATGATTACGTATACGTGTATGCATGGCGAGTATCAACAACCGCGAGATCATTGATACATCGAGATTTTTCCTTCTTTTCTTTTCTTTTTCTTTCTTTCTTTCTTCTTTTTTTTCTTTCTTTTTTTTTTTTTTTTTTTTTTTTTAAGGGTCGTTATTCGCGTTATAGGATATATATCGTTTACAGATATCTGAAATCAATGCAAAATCGGAAGGTTTTTTAATCGTATCGTGTATTTCCTTCGTGTTTATTCTTTCAAAAGTATTTTTAGAATATTGCATAACGAAAAAGGAGATATTTGCGAGCGAAGATATGTGGATATTCGTTATGTTAATTCGTACATACATATTTTTCTTCTTTTACAAAAGATAGTGGAAGTTGTCTCGAAGAAAAAAAAAAAGAAAAAAAAAAATAAAAAAAATAAAAAAGATTTATCCTTTTTTTCTTCCCTTCTAACTTTCTTGTCAATCATTTAAACTGTACATACGTATGTAGTACTATCATCATAAATGATGACGTGCTATTGCGTATATAATTTTACTTTAAATCATTTCGATGTATACGTACATTAAATGTATTTCATAATAATAATATGTCTTATTAGATCACTTAATTATATCGCCGTCAGTCTTATCGCTTACATACGGATAATCGTATATCTTCGTATAATTACGATTAGGTTAATGGAGAACAGGAAATTGTTTACAGGAAAGGGAGAAAAAAAAAATAAGGTTATCTTATTTAACACGTGCGATCGTCTTTTGATTCCCTCGTCGTTCTTTTGTTTTTCTTTTTCGTAGTCTGTATAAAAGCGCGGCTTTTTTAAATCGTTTCGACGAGTGAAAACATTGAGAAAAAAAAAAAAAAGAAAAAACCGTTGTACTTTTTTGGAAAGAATTGCGTCATTTATATTACGTGTAGATTATTCGTGGTCCAATGATTTTGCTCTTACATTGGACTTTCGCAAGTCGATCGATCGATTAAACGTATACACGGTGTACAAAACGAAAAAAGAAAAACATTCAATATTTTTAGTACAGTGTATAGAACACAACTGTACTAAAAAAAAGAAAAAAAAAAAATCTTTAGTATGCATAGGTAAGAAGATAAATTATTTCTGATTGACTTACCAATCGTTTCTATTTACAGAAGATATGTTTTTACATTATTCTCCTTTCATCATTTTCATACACACTTAGTAGTATCTTTTTCTCACAGAGTCATGGAATCCTTTCGAAAATTCCACATCTTTGTTGGATAATTTCACAAGGATTGGCAAGTAAGGTTTCGTAATTCTTCGAAGTTTATATATCGGCGAAGAATATATTTTGTTTTTTTAAATAATCCCGATAAAAAGAAATCCAAAGAGTTCTCAAATTGGGGTGGGAGGGAAAGGGGAGGGGATTGAGGATACTAAAATTAATCAATTACGTCCGATTCATCTTTGAATCGAAATCAGTTTGATTCGCGAAAACGTTAGAAAGATGATTTTTAGAAACAGGACGTATAAAGAGGGAGGGAACTTATCAATTGGGAAAATTTTTCCATATAAAAATGTTCATGCTGATGACAACTGATCAATTTGCCGATGTTTTAATTTTCAAAATTGATTGATGACATTCGAAAGGCGATTTATAAATACTAAAGATAATATTGCACGTTATGATAAAAATTAATAGATCAATCATGATACTAACGTACAAAAATGTTTATGTTTTAGAAATGATTGATCTTACGATCTATATTTACTAGGACTTTTTATTTGATAGTATTCTATGCATTGTATAAATATTAAATGGCTTTTTTTTTTTCAACACCCTATGTATATCTCTTATAGACGTAGAAAACTTTCTATCGATATCAATCTATCTATCGGATCTATTTTTTTTTTTTTTTTTTTTTTTTTTTTTTTTTTTTTTTTTTTTTTTTTTTTTTTAATACACCGTGAACGTTTAAAATATAAAATTTATGTGAATAGAATATAGTTTCGTTTGTTATAATTTAATCTTTAGCAAGTTATTATAATTTCGACGAAAGTAAAAGAAAGTGTTCTAAGTGAAGAGAATACAGTTTCTTTCTTTCTTTCTTTCTTTTTCTTCTTTTTTTTTTTTTTTTCTTTCTTTCTTTCTTTCTTTATATTTTTCCTTTCGAAGTAGCTAAGTAATAATAATATGAGATCTTCTTGGAACATTGAATCTTACTCAACATCTTCGTTTGTCATTCAGAGTGTAACGGCGAGCTCTCATGACACTTATGGTGGTTGCTCTCATGTTCGAGCGCATAAACAAAGAGACCTCCAACAGTGTCGTATCTTTAACAGTTAGATCCCTGTTCCTTTATATGTAAGTGTAACACTCACATATGAAATGAATATTAAGGTTCATTTATTCCTTTCCGGTCAATTTCATTCGTCGTTAGTGTGTACTATCCATTCAAAGATTAATAAATATACATACTCGTTATATTTTGATATTAATAAATTTTCATTGATTTATTTATATCGATTGTTATTATTACTCTATTTAAATTTAATTAATTTTCTTTTCTTTTTTTATTTATATTTATTATTAAATTTAATTTATATTTATCTTTATTATGGACGATTATTCAGAAGTCACGTAATCCTAATTAATCAGTTCATATCGTTATTAGAAATCGATGAATAGAAGCATTAGAATATATCATACACACACACACACACACACACACACACACACACACACCGCACGCACGACACATGACCCAACAAATTTCAAGATATTTATGTTGTAAGAGTTGTTGTTTTTTTTTCTTTTTTTGGAAATCGCATAATTTCTCATGTATTGTGATCGTCTAAATCACATAGATCATTCTTTAGATTTTTTCTTTGAGGATCACTTTTAAAAGAATATGTTCTATGAAAGCAACACATGCACACTCAATGTACGTAGTAGACGTGGAAGAAGATCTAGAGAGATAAATATCGTCAACGTAAATGCAATGACTATGGAAGGTTGTAGCGAGCATTGTGAAACATTATTAAAGCATTCATAAATATTGATGGAGGACATTTTCAGTATCTATTGTAGATCAGAAATAGTAAAATGTAATCAATTTCTTTCTTATATAATTATTGGCTTATTTTAAAAATAATTTATTATATGATTTGTGTGTCTTTTGGATCGTCCTGTATTGTGACAAATTTTTTTTAGATTAACAATACCATTCGAGTTATCAAGAAACTGGACAGCATAATATCATTATCGTAATTGATTGGAGAAAATAGACGTTTAATAAAGACAGTATTGAAACGATTTCAAAATCGATTGTTTGAATTTATGACAGTAATAATGATCTTCACAAAGGATGTGATTTAGATATCCACTTTTGTTTTATTTTATTTCGTAATAAGAGTATCCTATTTTATAGCTGTGCTATAAAACGTTGATTTATCGAGAGAAATGGGGTTTGATTTGAAATCAAAAAATTTTAAGAGATAAAGAGAGAAAGAGAGTAGAGCAATAGTTTACCCATTGTTTGTTTGGTGTGTGTTTGTGTGTATATTGGTATGTATATATATATATATATATATATATATATATATATATACAGGATAAATATATATATATATTTATCCTGTGTATGTATCTATCTGTATATCTATGTGTACCATCCTATGTGTGCCATCCTATGATATACAAATGTATGTACAACGTGTATGTGTCTTTGTATTTATGTATGTATCTGTGTATCTAAGAGTACGTAAGTACCTATTTACGCGCGCACGTCCTGTGTGTGTGTGTGGGTGTGTATGTACATTGTCATAAATAGCTCGCCTAGGGCTATACTCAAACATACGAAGTGATGTAAGCAGCAGAGAGAGAGAGAGAGAGCGAGAGAGAGAGAGAGAGAGAGAGAGCGAGAGAGAGAGAGAGAAAGAGAGAGAGAAAGAGAGAGAGAGAGCGAGAGAGAGAGGGAGAGCGAGAGAGAGAGAGCACATGTTTAGTAATATATATTGAATTCATCGTTGATATGCAGGTATATGATTTCATTGTCATCCTATTATCAAAGTATCATATGTTCGTAGATGGGGACTGAGGTGGCACATCCAGGGGTAGCAAACGATTTAGGAGACGTCAATGCAAGGAAATACTATACTTACTACCAATGGGTTTGCTTCGTACTCTTCTTCCAGGTATTAACTTCTTTATCATTGAATTCTACACGTGCGACATATGGTAGGTCGCGATAAAGAATATATAGACTTACCATTTGTGCATCCGATCTGATTCTATCATCTTACAGCACGTCCTTTTTATCATGGTTTATATATCCTTTCTTGTAATTTCTTATTATAGATTTTATTGACATCTGTTTATGATGGTACATCAAGTTGCAACCTGTGCAACTTAATTTATATATTATGTTATATTATATCATTTTATTTTCTACCTAGTATATCTTTTATAATATTTATTTGTTTATCTTTTTTAATTGTTTCTTTATTTATTTGTTTGTTTATTTATTTATTTTATTTTTTTTTTGTCACTTAGGCAATTTTATGCTATACACCTCAATGGCTCTGGAACATGTGGGAAGGTGGATTGATGAATACATTGATCATGGGAATGAATTGTGGCATTGATAAGCAAGATATCATCAAGAAGAAAAAATCCAAGTTGATGGAATATATTATGTCCCATTTAACGGTAAGAATAATAAATAAATAAATATAAAGATATATATATATATATATATTAAAATGCATAGAAGCGTATTTTATATATGATGGTTTATGGAATGTAAACTATAAGAATTTATTTTGTATATGAATAATTAGAGAAAAATAAAAGAAAGGGGAGATGTACATATGCAGAGATGCTCCCGTTAGATTCAATTTGGTCTCATTGAGTTCAATTCGAGTTAACTCAGCGATTATTTGTTCTTTCAGAGGCATCAAAAGTACGTATATCACTACTTCGCTTGCGAGCTCTTGTGCCTGGTCAACATTATTGGACAACTGTACCTGATGAATCGTTTCTTCGATGGAGAATTTCTTAATTATGGCCTTCGTGTATTACACATATCGAATACACCGCAAGAGAATCGCTTTGATCCTATGGTTTACGTATTCCCTCGTGTTACAAAATGCATATTTCATAAATACGGTGCTTCCGGTACGATACAGAAGCACGATTCATTATGCGTTTTACCGCTAAACATAGTCAACGAAAAGACTTATATCTTCATTTGGTTCTGGTATATCATTCTCTCCATATTTTTGATCGGTTTGGTCGCTTACAGAGCTGCTATAATATTTGCACCGGCCGTAAGACCAAGATTGTTGCATATCGCATCGCCTGGAATATCAATTGAAACGTGTCAAAGTATAAGTAGAAAAGTAGATCTTGGTGATTGGTGGATACTTTATATTCTTTCGTGGAACATGGACGGTATCCTTTATAAAGACTTTTTAGAAGAACTTACGAAAAAAATGAGCTCCCATATTTCTCAACCGATCAATGCTTAAATTTATTTAGCAATTGTAAAATTATATCTAATTATATTTTGCAGTTTAGATATTAACAAGGGACTGACTAGAGTCTAATGTGACTCGTGTTGACATGTTTCTTTATTATACGAGAGAATACTCGTTAAAAAAAAAAGAAAAAAAAAAGAAAAAAAAAAGAAGAAAAAAGAAAGAAAAAAAAAGAACAAAAAAAGAAAAAACAAAAAAAAAAAAGACAAAAAAAATGTTATACGTTTACATAATTTTTGATAATAATTTTACAATGTCGGCGGTGTAGTCGTCGTAAGATAGTTTGTAAACAAGAAGAGGGATATATTGCCATTTTTGATAATAATTTTGGTATATCAGTGACGTCATCAATCGTAAGATAGTTTTTAGGTAAAACATTACTAAGTACGTATGGTTTAGATAATTGATTATATTGCATTTGCGTAAGAACGTATAAGAGGTTATCAAAAGAATTATAAGAATAATATTATATTTAGTATAGAAATCATATAAACATCTTTTTTTTTTTTTTTTTTTTCTTTTTTTTTTTTCTTATATATATACATACATGCGCGCCAGGATCTGAATCGATCTTTGTCTTATATTGATTCCTCGATCGACAGATCAATCTTGTACTTCGCAAACGTTCCTTATCGTTGCTCGAAGATCATTCGTGCATTTCTATTGCATTTCTTTAAAGCATAGTATGTTTACAATTAATAACATAATTAATATCTATGATCTTTTGATAATATACAAGTTCACTCGAGTGTGTTGGATATATACATGACCGTGAACTCATATTAGTTTTATAAAACAAGTTGCGATTATTTTTTCCACGTATTAGATAATTTCGAACTATGATTATCTTATTCGTTCTTATAAATATTTTTTTTTATATCATTGAATCATTTACCATCCAATGGTATTTATGATTTATAAGGATTAATTCATGAACAAAAAAGAGGTGATATAGATTAGAAACTTTCATTAGATGTTCTTTCTTTCTACATAGAAAATTATTGAAATAGGTTGAAATTAATTCTATTCTATTTAATTTGATGAAATGTAAGTAATATTTCGCTCATTTTAGAACGACACATTTCTATAAAATACTTTACCCACTTGTGTTCCAGAATTAACAACAACAACAACAACAACAAAAACAACAATACAATAATTAATCGTTATTACAAAAGACTTTTCTAATTCACTATTGTGGATCTTCCAGCAGCTTTATAGTACGTAAGACAGATATTCGGATAAGCAATTTATTTGTATCCACGTATACGGTTGTATAAAGATTACTTTTGAAATGATTTTAAAGTCTTCATTTTAATCATCTACTAAAAAAAAAAAAATAAAAAAAAAAGAAAAAAAAAAAGAAAAAGAAAAACAGGATAGATAAATCTTGTTTTCAATTTTTCACATCTTTTTCCTTCGTGTGATAGACGAATGGTATCCATCAACGAGGAAATAAGAAAAGAAAAAAAAAAAAGAAAAGAAAAGAAAAAAAAAAGGCGAAAGAGGAAGAGTCATTTTGATGTGTAAAATTGAAGAGGCAAAGCGTATCTCAACATTGTCGGCGGCAGACGGAACGCGTTTATCTCTTTGTGACTGGAAAACGTCCAGCGTTCGTTGAAAAGCTCGAGTGGGACGATATTTCGTTATAGTTCAGCGTGGGCGATTTAAAAGTTACTGTTTCTTCGATGGTTTTGTGTCGTCAGATAGATAGATAGATAGATAGATATAGAGAGAAAGAGAGAAGAGACATAAACAAGTGTGTAAAAAAATAGAAAAATAAAAATGGGATGACAGAGTGGAGAGAGAAAGAGAGAGAGAGATAGAGAGATAGAGAAGAGGATAGCTATCAGACAGAAAGAGGACGTCATGGTATGAAGAGGGACGACTAGTTCACGAATTTGTGTTTTGGCATCGAACTCGGCGGGACCTACGTTCGTTTGGTTGGAAATCCGCGCACGGTTAGGATTAGTCAGTAAGTTTCGTTCGCTCATCGGATGAGACGCGCACTGTTCTGCCGCTTAAATGCCAAACGTTATTGTCGTCGTCGTCGTCGTCCTTGTCGGCATTGTATAATTTAACTGCGTTTCGTTCATAAAATACACAATTTCTATACTTGATGAAGAAACGGATAGTTGTCTATCACATCTGCCGGAAATCTATAATCGATTTTCTTTAGGACGTTTCCGTAATCATCATCATCATCATCATCATCATCATCATCATCATCATCATCTCTGTCGCCTCATCGACGCAACCCGTTTTCGTATGACGTCTTTGTCGCGCTATTTGTGTTCGTTTTATTGTACAACGGGAAACGTCAAAATGTGTATCTACTTCCAGAGATTGAATTATACGAGATCGTTATTGAATCCTCATACCAATCGGTAAAATCATCGATTAATAGTTTAGATCTTTTTTCTTATATCAGCGTTCGTTGAAATTCGTTGCGTGAGTCTAATCCGATCACTATTACAATCTCGATCCCGACACCCCATCACCCACACCCCCCCCTCCGACGGATTTACTAACTCAATTTCTTTGTAAATTAGTATCCTTTGATCTTTTCGGACGGGTCATAAAGCTTTTTCTCGGCCGTTTAGTTTTTGATTAATAGGACGGGGTGAATGACCGTGGAAATGAAACGCGAGCTTTATTTAACGATTAATGATTTGGACGTCGTCGATGATGGTCGTTGGAAAAGGGCAGAGTGTTCTTTATCATTGGCGAAATCGCAGGATTTTAGAGATTAAGAATCAAACGTGATTATTGAACAATTTTTTGAAGAAATCGGCTTTTTCGAATAGTGTGCGTGCGTCCGTACGTACATACGTGCAATAAAAGAGAGAAGTGAGAATGATAGACACTGTTACAGAATTGTACTATCTTTTACGCGTAAGTGCCAAAAATAGGACGAGATGCGTTTTCGTTACGTTATTGTGTTCCTCGTAATAATTCTCAAAGCATCAATATAAAAAATTGCGAATTGGAACGATCCGGGCAATAAATTATAAATGTATTAATCCAAGCCTAATCGCTAATTCAGACCTTGCTAATAATTTTAAAACACTGCTATAATCTTTCGTGAAAATTAATGCTATTGTTATATTTAATCGATGGAATGTTGATGAACAAGTTAACTTATTAATTCCGTTTGATTTTGCTTTCGTTAGAAAATATAACAATTTTATGAAATTGTCATAATGAAGTCAAACAATTACAAGTAGTACAACAAATTTAACGATTTTTAAAATACATATTAACACGAAATTATTATACTTGAGAATTATACGGGACGATGGTTTATATCGATTCTAATTTGAAAAAATTAATGCTTGAAATCTGTGAAAATTAATGCTTGTTATATTTAATCGATAGAATGTTGATGAACAAGTTAACTTATTAATTCCGTTTGATTTGACTTCCGTTAGAAAATATAATAACTTTATGAAATTGTCATAATGAAGTCAAACAATTCCAAGTAATACAACAAATTTTACGATTTTTAAAATACATATTATCACGAAATTATTATACTTGAGAATTATACGGGACGACAGTTTATACCAATTCTAATCTCTACTAACTCAAAATGTGTCAACATTGATTTAGCGTGTAAGGTAAGCGTTATCGCTCTTAATCAAATTTTAAAACCTAATATAAAACACGTTAATGTGCATGTAAACGAGCGTCGTAAGATAACACGCAACGAAACGACAAGTGATTATTTATAAACAACTATGAAAAATATTTGTCGGTCATGTCTCTTTCTACGATAATATTGATGAAATATTGCGAGTTTAAAGATCGAGATTTAATATCGCAATAGGACGAACATGCGAGCTCGTGAAGTTTCAAGCTTAAAGTAAGCGATTTACTTTGATATTCCTCATTCCTATACCTTCGCAAGGTTTACAAACTTGTAAAGCATGTCTCTACTTGCAAGATCGTTCAAAGCAGCGTGCTAAGCCAGAATTAGCTTTGAACAAGTGTTGTGCGTCAGTGTGTATATCAAGAAATAAGATAAAAGTGCACCAAGGTATAGATGTAAGTGTGTGCATGCGAGAGCGTGTGTATATGTATATATGTATGTCCGCTCTGTGTGTGTGTGTGTGTGTGTGTGTGTGTGAAATCGTATGGTTGAATTAATTGCATAAGCAGAAGCGTTTCTCGTTCCAAGAACACGTGGTCAATACGCTTGTGTCGTGATTCCGCAGGTGTCCAGAATAAGAAGCGATGGCCTCGTCTTTAGGCTACATGCGCTAACAACGATCTTGATGCTCCTATTTTCCGTAATTATTAGCAGCAAGCAAACTGTGGGAAATCCAATAGAGTGCGTACATACGAGGTAATATTATGAAAAGATATTTTAAATTAATTGTCCGTAACGATGACGTATTAACGAGGCCAAACATATGTGCGATGAGAAATTTTAACGATCAATACTCTTATTTAAAATACAATGATACATTGAATTTTACATTTTTATTCTCATTAGTTCGTATATATCGTGGAATGTTTTTCATTGTTGTTTTGTATCACCTTGAACGTTGTGTTCGTTCATACGTTCGTTCATTCATACAATTTTTCTTTCTGTCTTCCCATTTGTTTAATCTTATCCGAACAGAGACATTCCTGTAGAGGCCTTCAATGCGTACTGTTGGATACACAGTACGTATATCGTGAGCGGTGGTGGTGCTATGCTTGGTGTCGCAGGGGCAAACGTTGCGTATCCTGGTGTTGCCTCGTCTTTCGGCATTTTACAAAGACGTTATCAGAACGAGGAGGATCATCGTCATGTCAACGATCAAACAAAAAGAGTCAAGTATTATCAGTGGGTTGCTTTCGTGCTTATCTTTCAGGTAATTTATTTTTTTACATATTTATACATATTTATACTTATTTGTCTTTATTTATACATTTATTTTATCACGTATTATTTATCATTTGTCAAGGATCAATTATTAAATGAGAAAATTATAATAATAGACTAAATCTAAGAAAACGTTAATCTTTTTTTTTTTTTTTGTTTTTCTTATTATCTGTACAAAATTACCCGCGTATATGCTTTAGTATCAAAATATAAAACAGATGTCGTTTCGATCGTATCTCGCGTTGCTAGAAAATAAACGAAAATCAAAATTTTCGATTATTCGACGTGACGCTATAACAATGAAATTTATTAGAATCATCCTAAAATTTTTATAAGTTTTCTGAATAATTATAATTATACTTATATGGATAAATATGTATATTGATTTTTGTCCATTGTTATTGTATAAGAAATCTATCGTTGAGTTTACGCTTAAGATATTATTCGTTTACAAAATACTCGGCAAGTCGTACCGAGAAATAACTATTATTAAACAACTACAAAGTTTGTATGATTTATTTGTATAATAAGGTTATTCAAAAGATATCGATTTATACATTAGAAATAATAGCGTTGATTTATTAAATCAAAAATTCCGCCATAATGATTTCTGTTCAATGTACGGTATAACCACCGTTTTTTTTCTTCTTTTTATTTAATAATAATCCGATTCTACCTGATTACATTATAAACTTTTAAAATACAATTTTTTTTAATTTACCAAAAAAAAAAAAAATAAATAAAATTCGTTATAACTTTTCGCATTATAACAGCGTGTAGGTGATGCACTCTAGCGGTAATTTTTGATACGAAAGCAATGTCGGCAAAGTAACAAGTTGCGTCGGTAAAGAAAACTTTAATCCTTTCGTCATAAGGGAGCGCGTACGATTGATTATCAACTAAATAAAAATATACAATCAACTCTATAACAACTTTTAACAACAAATATATATATATATATTATTAAAGTGTAATGAACATATATCACAATTACATCGTGAATATTGATGTATTCTATTAATGGATCCATTTATATTCTAACTTTGCAGAAAAAGTAAAAAGGATAGTTTTCAAACACGATATACAAATGATCATCGTCTCGGCGTAAACGAACTGATATGGATCTATCTGATTGACTTGTGTTTAAAAAAGAAAGGGGAAAAAAAAGAGAGAAAAAAAAAAAGAGAGAAACGACGACATAACATCTTGTGAGAAACGATTGACGCGTAGGTGTAACGTCGTCGACATTCAGCCAGTGGGGAAAAAAAATTGATTATTTACCTTTTTCTATAAGCGAACCGTTTCTGTGTTGTATATTCAACAAGGGAAAAGCGGATATATAGGATGTGCTTAGAAAAACATATCTCATTTCTTCGTGTTATACTCACGAACATAAGTTTAACGTACCAGAAGACTCGTTTGTCGAAGACTCTGTCTGTATGTGTGTGTGTGTGTGTGTGTGTGTGTGTGTGCGCGCTTCTTTTTTTCCCCATATATTATTTTTTATTTTTTATTTTTTATTTATTTATTTATTTATTCTTTTTTTTTTCATTTTTCTTTTCCTTCAATAAAGGCCACGTATAAAAGACATCGCGAACTCGAATGTAACGACGAAGCGTATTAAAAGCATTTCGGAGAATCAACGTGGCTTAAACGCTCGACCATTTATAATTCGGTTGCAGTCAATTTCAGAATATCTCATCTTGTATTTGCGTATTGCCAGAGAGATAGCAGATTTATTGGATTCAACGAGAAGATGGATATCGTCATAATCGTGTCATAATATCGGCCTGTAATTTATTAGAAACGGAGTCGCGTGAGGCTCACGTACGCGTATGTCAATAATCCAAAGCCATTAAAGCTGTTCAAAAGTGATCGGCAGATGGTTAGAGAACGATTATGCAATGGTTCTAAGTTACAGCGACGTTTCCACCCCCTCCCTCCCTCCCTCCCTCCCTCCCTCCCTCTATCTCTCTCTCTCTCTCTCTCTCTCTCTCTCTCTCTCTCTCACGTCTATAAGCACGAAAGAGGGAAGACCAGATTTTTGAGTCGGACCAGACTCTTCTTAAGCAGCATAAGCCTCGCCATGTGATTTATCTATGTGGTTCGATAGACGCGACGAGGGTACTTGAAGAAGCTCGTTTAACTAAATCAGAACTATTCACCGATGGAATCATGACTTTACCATATGAAATTCTAGATATTTGATTGATATATATCAATCATTATTAGAAAAAGTATGGCCGAAGAATGATTCTGTCACGATATAAAAGTTATATAACATTGAATAATATTGAAATTATACTTTGAAAGGTATCGAATCTAAATGGTAATGATAAAGCGATCGTATTCGAATGAAATCGAATCGTAAAATATGAACGTTCCTTTTGGGACGACACGTAACTCCTCCACGATTCTATTTAAGTCCGTCTATTTCGTATGAAATTAGTAAGTACGCGAATAAAAGCAAAATATTTATTTACATATCGCCGGCACCGAACGAGAAAGCACTTATCTCTGAGGAGTTATAACGTGTCTTACGCGTTGATTCGTCGAACCATCCAAGTGCATGCATCCGCTTTTTGCTTCTCTCTCTCTCTCTCTCTCTCTCTCTCTCTCTTTCGCTGTCTCTGTCTCTCTGTCTTTTTCTTTTTTTTTGCATTAAGCATTTCGTTGGTAACATGTAACACATAGAAAAAGCAAATTCTCTTATGTTCTTTGGATATTTCGAGCGAGCTCCTTTTTTCTTTTCTTTTTTTTTTTTTCGTCGACCTTCGTATCTCTTGATTTAATCAACGGAAAAAGAAAAAAAACAGAGTAAAAGAGAGTAAGAGAGAGAGAGAGAGGGAAAGAGAGAGAGAGGAAGAAGAAGACAAATTGTGAGGTTCCGTTTCACAGGAAATCGAGTAAGTTTTATAAGATATGAGCGACGGAAATGAGAGCGTCGTAATGTTACATCTTTACAATATTTTTCCCTTTTTTATTGCTATAATATAACCAATGGTAGCTTCGTCGAAGGTAGATGAGATTTATATCATCGAGATCGCGAGGTTCCCGCGAATCGGTGTATTCGTAGAGAGAAGACAGTATCCAGTTACGTTTAAAAAGTATCTCTTCTCTTCGATCAGCTGCTTGGTATAACTGATTTACTGTGTGTTATATAGAAAAAAAAAAAAAAAAAAAAAAAAAAAGAACGAAAGACGATCCATAATGATCTTTACTATCCACGAAGATACTTTCAGGATCAAACTCTGTCGTATTTTCTTTTTCTTTTTCTTTTTCTTTTTCTTTTTCTTTTTTTCCAAATGAATTAGCCCGGAGAGTGTGATATTACACATAAATACGCAGTCATCACGATCTATTTCTTCGTGGGAAGCATAAGAAGTAGTAGTAACAGTAGTAGAGGAAAAAGAAGTAGAAGAAAAAGAAGTAGAGGAAGAAGAAGAAGAGGAAGAAGAAAAAGAGGAATAAACAAGGAAACGATACTAGATAAACGTTTGATATTTCATCGTACATCTCATCGTTATAATAATAATAGATTATAAGAATTTGAAATTGACCATTATTATATCTACGAATGTAGAGCTATTTCATTGTTAAAAGTTATACATTTGTATTACTATTTATGTATAATATTTGTTATTCTTAAAAAAAAAAAAAAATGGCGGATAACCAGTTGGACATCTTGGATGGATTTTTATCAAGAAATTTTCTTCTCTTGGAGAAAGAGGAGAAAGAAATAGATGACGAGTCGAGTGAGGACGATTGAGAATCGTGAAATTTAGAAAGATTCAGAGAGAGAGAGAGAGAGAGAGAGAGAAAGAAAAAGTGGGAGAGAGAGAGAGAGAGAGAGAGAGAGAGAGAGAAAGAGAAAGAGAATTTAGCCAAAGTCTCGAGGACGGTTGTTCGCGAACGAGCGAGCGAGCGAGCGAGCAAGTAAGCAAGCAAGCAAGCGTGCGTTTGGACGTTGCGCTTACACGCTTACACACCGCGAGAGGACGGTTCGGGTTCGGGTGTTTCTATTCCTGGAGCGCGCTGACTCCTCGTTCGGCTCCTACGGGAGGTACCGTGCCGTGCCCTGGCCGTTTTCTCGAGTCTAACGTAGACGAGCGTGGCGTGTGGAAGCAGCCGTTTGCTGAACGTTTCCGCTAACATTTTTTTTTTTTATTTACGATACGATACAATACGATACGATTAAAATACGATAGACTTTTAATCCTCGAAAGTTCGAAAAGTATTAATCTTGTGCGCGATAAAAGAATTTCGTTTATTCTCGCCATTTCGTGTCCGTGCTCGAGATATCTCTTTATTTTTATTAATATTTAATATTAATATTAATATCATCATTATTATTATTATTATCATTATTATAATCATTATTATTATTATTGTTGTTGTCGTTGTTATCAATATTTTGTTCGTGGAAGGGCGCGAAGCAAGCGGATTAGAGAGGGGGAAAAAAAAGAAATAAGAAAAGAAAAGAAAAGAAAAGAAAAGAAAAAAGTTATCTCTTGGATCGATATAAATTTTCACGAGACACATAGAGATCAACGATCAATATCATCAGCTGTTCGATTCGACTTTGAGAGAGAATCGTCGGAATGAATGTGTGTGACGGAGGAGACGCACGTGCTCCGTGGCTTTCGCGTTCTCCAATGAGATCTCTCTCTCTCTCTCTCTCATGGTAGTCACTTATTTCTTTATTTTGTTTCTTTTATTCTCTCCTCTGCCTCCCTGACGAATCGATTCAATTAAACCTACTCTAACCACTTTCTATCTTACTCTTTTACCTCGTGCCAGGCTAGAGCCAATCATTTGTTAGGATCGATTTGTTAGGATCGTTTTCGTAATAATCATTATCATAATCGTTCTCCTTCTCCTTCTCCTTTTTCTCCTCCTCCTCCTCCTCTTTCTCTTTTACTCATTCTTCTCCTTCTCCTTCTATTTCTTCTTCGACCTTGATTGATATAGATCGGAATGAAATTTTCGAGTCGATAGATTTTTCTTACGTTGAAAACTGGCGAATTTAATTTCTTTCTTATTTTATCTTTTTATTTCACGTTCCAGTGGAATATCATCGAGTTCCAATAAATACAGAATCAAATCCATGTATCTTTGGTCCGGCATTAAGTTACTTCGAAAGAATCCTACACGAGTCACTGATTCCGTTCAGAGGGATCACTGAGATCGAAGACGATCGTTCAGTCAATCGACGGAGAAATACGAATGAAAGATAAAAAGAGAGAGAAGAAGAAGAAGAAGAAGAGAGAGAGAGAGAGAGAGAGAGAGAGAGAGAGAGGGAAAGAGAGAAAGAGAGAAAGAGAGAGAGAGAGAGAGAAAGAGGGAAAGAGAGAAAGAGAGAGAGAATTTTTCTATACGGTCCAGAACGGAAGCTGGGATTCGAGCAATGCTTATTGATACTCTAGAGGCTCTTCCCTTTCCGCGTATCTTCTTTCATCGTGAAAGCAAACCGAGGGACAGGAACGATAAACCAACATTACGGTCTGTCTCTTCCGTCTTTGTCGTTCTTGTCGACGCAATAGAACGACGTTTATCATTCTCTCTCTCTCTCTCTCTTTCTCTCTCTCTTCCTCCCTCTTTCTTTTTCTCTTTATTTTGTTTTTGATTTTTTTCTTTCTTTTTTTTTTTTTTTTTTTTAATTTGTTACCATTAATGACAGCTTCGTGTCCATCAACACAACGTTGTATGTATAATAAGATAACTCTCACAGATATAATAAAATACTCGTCGTACACACGTAGAGAATACGTTACTCTCGATTATTCACGAGAATTTATGGGGATAATCGTGAGAAAGGAGGAAGAGAATGTGTGTGTGTGTGTGAGAGAGAGAGAGAGAGAGAGAATGAGATGGAAGGACAATTAATATTCAAAGTAGAAAGTAGAATATTCGTTGCATTTTTCTTTTCTTAGGAAAAAATTGATCAAACGGTAAGAAATAGAGTGAGAGAGAGAAAGAGAGGGGGGGGAGAGGGAGAGAATGGAGAATAGAGTTCTCACTCTATTTCTGTATTTTGTCCTCAGGCATTTTCAAAGCATTTGTCGGCGGTTCTACACTAACCTCCGGCTCCGTTAGCAAAGTGCAGTCTTACGCAGCGCGTAAACGCTAAAATAGAATGGAAAACGCTCGTCGAACGATATTACGAGACTCCTACTACTATTTGCAGGTTCTCTCTCTCTCTCTCTCTCTCTCTCTCTCTCATTTTCTCTTTCTTTTTATCTCTCATATTACCTTTCTTCTTCTCCGTCATCCTTTTATTATTGCCAGTCGATCGTCATTCCGGTGAATTGTCTTGAAAATCGAGAAGCCAACTTCTCTTTGATGTCCTCTCGATTCGTTGTTAATTGGTCTCTTTCGAAGTAATCATAGATTGATTCGCAATTCGGTGAACCTTCAAAAAGCTTTTACTTGCGCTCTGTTGAAACCTAACAAGAGAATTTGATCGTTTTGAGGAGGAAGTGCAAGAGGAGGAGGAGGAGGAGGAAGAGGAGAAAGAGGAAGAGAAAGAGGTAGAAGAGGAGGTGGAAGTGGAAGAGGAGGAGGAGGAGGAGGAGGAGGAGAAAGAGAGACTCGAAACGTTTTGATTCACAACGAATCGATCATATGTTATATATCTTTCTATTTGTCTGTCGATTAGATTTTTCAAGCAACTTAGAAACCGTTCTTTTTCGATTTCCCAACGGAACTTAGTGTCGAAGAAAAAGGAAAAAAGAAGAAGGAGAAGAAGAAGAAGAAGAAGAAGAAGAAGTAGAAGAGGAAGAAGAAGAAGAAGAAGCAAAGAAAGATAAAAAAGAAGAAGAAAAATATCGTTGATTAAATCGAAAGGGAAAATTTCAAAGGGTGCAAGAAATTGAATATATATTTCCGTCTGTTGATCGAACGTTTACGGTTGGTTTGTTTTTAACCAAGAGTCACGTCTCGTTTCGTGTTTTGTTTCTTTTTCTTTTTTGTTTTCTTTTTTTTCTTTTTTTCTTTTGTTTTTTTTTTTCTTCTTCTTCTTCTATCTCTTTCATTCGCGAATCCGTGATAATAGTGAGTACATTGATCTCTCGAGGATGAACGATGCGAACGGAACTGTGCGTTGGCAGGGAAAGATGATCGGACGCAAAATGTCATGTTTGGATACTTAAACTGACGTGAAAGGATCCTCCGGATTTGGATTAGAAAACAGTGTTGGTAGAAATTGTAAGGAGAATGATTGGACAGGTGTTGGTATCGGCTAAGGATCCCGCGAAATACAAAAAAGGATCCTATGCTGATGATCAAAGAAATTTTCGTGTAATCGTATAAATATAAGATAATAATTAAGTGTTTATATAATTATTTAAACAAATCTAATCGATTCGTCTAATCGATAATAAATTAGATCGAAGATCGATAAAAGACAGTGAAGATAAATCCGTGACAGAAAACAAAAAAAAAAAAAAAAGAAAAGGAAAAGATACTCCAAACGATTAGTATTTTAAAAATGTAGTGTGAAACGATTGTCAAGGTCGACGAATCTCGGATTAGTTCTTAATCGAACTTTACCGAATCGTCGACGACGAAATTTAAAAGTTCAAGATGCTGGACATATTTCGTGGTTTAAAGAGCCTAATCAAGATCTCACATATACACATTGATACAGCCGTATTTCGCCTACATTATAGCTTGACAGTGATAATACTGATATCGTTTAGCTTGATAGTCACAACGAGGCAATACGTTGGCAATCCGATCGATTGTATACACAGTAAAGACTTACCAGAGGATGTGTTGAATACTTACTGTTGGATACACAGTACTTACACGATCACTGCAGCGTACAGGAAAAGAGAAGGCTCGGAAGTACCTTTTCCAGGTGTCGATAATTCAAAATTGTATCCGGAATCTGAGAGGAAGGAGTACAGGTATTATCAGTGGGTCTGCTTCATGCTGTTCCTTCAGGTAAATCACTTTACGAGTCACGGAGTTTACGAGAAGTAAATTGAGGAAGAAAAATAATGATCGTTCTGTAATATCTAAGAGCCAATTTTTTTCTTTCTCTTTTCTCTCTCTTTTTTTTTTTTTCTCTTTTTTTCAAAATTGTTTAGACATTCTCAATGAACAGTTTAACATATTGTCGTCTTCTCTTGCAACATTCTTCCTCCTCTTTCTTTTTTTTTTTTTTTTTTTTCTTCCTCTCTCATTTCTCGTGCACGTTAATATCGTTTTTCTGTTTTCTTTTCATTTTTCTTTCTCTCTTTTTTTTTTTTTTTTCCTTTTTTTTTTACGAACTGTTATACGACGACAGAGGGTTAACGACGTAGTACAACACGTTACCCCTCTTCTTCTCGTTAAACGATCGATACGCTTTCTAATTTAACCTCGTGTCTTTGCTACGTGCCAATGGCAAGGAAAACGGATGATGGTTCGCGCTAAGCGACGAACAAAGAAGCACTTCGAAAAAAGTTTTTCTATAATCTAAAAAAAAAAAGAGAAGCGAGATTTAACCTCTTGTTAACTTTGTTGAAATTGACCTTATCAAAATTATGGAGATGGATGTACATACGTTTAGGATATTTTTGTGTATAGAGAGAGCGAGAGAGAGCGAGCGAGAGAGAGAGAGAGAGAGAGAGAGAGAGAGAGAGATGAGTTTAAACGGAGATCGATTAAAACTCCCTAAGTTACTCTTTCTCTCTCTCTCTCTCAAGATGGTTGTGGCTATGCTCGAACATCTTACTCTATGCTTACGGAGGCTTATATCTAGTTCATTGCCAAGAGGAAACCCTAAGCATATTAACCCCTTAAATCCTTCAGTGTTATATTAGTTAGTTCGTCGTCGATGGCCGATGTCGCAGTCGTTGCCTTGACGTGGTCGATCAAAGACGTTGTCACTATTCCTTTCCTTTTTCTTTTCTTTTCTTTAATTTTCTGTTTTTCTTTTTTCTTTTTTCTTTTTTTTTCTCCCCTTTTAATTTAACGTTTGTCATATTTTTTAAGATAGTAAAAATCTTCGAGTTTCAGAATCGAATATACTTTTCTATCGTTCTATGGTTACGATCATATTTCTTTTCATAATATTCTATTTCAATTTATCAAAAAGTTATTATTAATATTGCACAGTTTATCTTTGTTTTAATATTAGACGTGTCGACTTTAGAATGATCGATATATCTATTTAATATTCTTCAATAAATGTTATTTATTTATACATTTTAGTGATTATAATTTATTTTGTTTTTTCAAGATGTCAAGTTTTAGTATAAGATAAATAACTTCCCTCTCTCTCTCTCTCTCACTTTTTCTCTCTCTCTCTCTCTCTCTCTCTCTCTCTCTCTCTCTCTCTCTCTCTCTCTCTCTCTGTCTGTCTCTCTGTCCATCTTTTTTCTTTCCCTTTCTTATTATTTCTATCTTCATTTATTTATTTGTCCCTCTTTCTGTATCTTTATCCAACGTGGCCACACTTCAAAGTAAATCCCAACGTTCACCAAGCAATGAATCTTCTCTTCCGCGACTCCTTCTTCTTGGTTTCCCTCTTTCAGTCCTCTTCTTCTCTTGCTATCGCATCTTCGTCCGTCTTCTTTGCACGTACCACCAGCTATTGTTATCCGTTTCTACGTGGCAACCATTGGCCGCTACTCCTTTGTGCGTGTCTTACCACTTTTTCCATCTTACGCTTCGTTCCAGCCTTTGATCCTACGTAAGAATCGAAAAGGGGCAGGAAGGGGGTAGGGGGGTTAGAGGAAGGGAGGGGAGGAAAAACGAAAAGAGAAAAAAAAATATAAAAGAATTTTAAGAATAGCGAGAACACCTGATAACTTACTTTTTTTTTTATTTTTTCTTTATTTTTTCTTTTTTTTTCTTTTTTTTGCTCAACGATCATTCAAATATCATTTCACCTAAGTTAAATCGTAATCGATTAAAAATAATTTCGTTACAATTTATATATCGTTGTAACGATTTAACCAATGGATTTCGATTAAGTCGAAGGAAAAAATGAAAGATCTTTTTTTATTCAGAAAGATTCGAGCTTACGATATTCTATGAAAAGGAAAGAAAGGGAAAAAAAGAAAACGAATGAACAAAAACAAACAAACAACTACGGCGAAGGAAAAGAATGAGAGATAAAGTTATATTGGAATCTTCAAAAAGCATTGTATTTTTTATTTACATTTATATAGGGTAGATCGAAAGTTCCTAAACGATTTTAAATATCAATTATTCTTCGTTATTTCTTTTCGAGTTAATTTCTTTTCAAATTGTAAAACTACGAGATAATCAACTTTTCGCCAATATAAAAACGTTTGATTCACCCTGTATATACATATATTACTTACACACACACATACACACACACACACACACACACACACACACACATATATATATATATATATATAAATGTCTACGTAGAATAATGACAATGACCTAAATATTTTGTCTCGGGGGAGCTCGCCCTACTTTCTTATTTCTCTTTTCTTTCTCATAATATTCCCTCTTTCCACTTTCCAATCTTTCTTTTTTTCTTTTTTCATTTTATTCTTTTCGCGATACAACAGGTATGCCTGGCTGAAGGCCAATTTTCTCTCTCTCTCTCTCTCTCTCTCTCTCTCTTTCTCTGTCTGTCCGTCTGTCTGTCTTTCTTTCTTTTTCTTTCTTTTTCTTTCTTGGTAGAAAGAGAATTAAGCGTGCAATCGTTCACGCACGTTTCTCACTAACGTTAAATCTTAAAATTGCACGTGCCATTAAAATCTCCATTATGACTTTTAATATCATTCGGTCGAAATTGAATTGGGCAAAAGAAATTTGTATTAAAGCATTTAGACGAAAGGATCGTTATTACGAATATCTAAATCGAAATATAGGTTCGACTAAAATAACAAACTGTAAGCGAGCCTGGTTGCCACCTGGAGTTTTGGTCGATTCGTCAATAAACTCAAAGTTTGTTGTTTGCAATCATAACTCGATGACGATTGACAAATTACATTGACCCATTGGATTTTAGCGTGACAGAATTGATACTTGAAAGATAATATAAGTTATGTGTTCTCGGCATCGAGGCCAAGGGATGCCCCTCAAGTCCGGCCAGTCTTCTGACGGCTCACTAGTGTGTCCCACGTGTCTGCGTTCTCCTCTTTCTCTCTGTCTTCGTTCGCGTGATTCTTCAGGCCGTATTTTTTCGTTCGTTTCGACGTTATTTCCTGTTTTTTCTTTTTTTTTTTTTTTTTTTTTTTTCTTTTTTACTTTTCCATTTTTTCATATTATTTTATTCGACCAGAACGAAAAGAAGATTCTCAAAAAGAAGGGAGCTTTTTTTTTTTTAATCACAGTGGAAAGAAGAAGTATAAATATAAGAAGAAGAAGAGGAGGAAGAGGAGGAAGGGGAAGAAGAAGAAGAAGAAGAAGAAATAAGGATAAACGAAAGTTTGGTGAGAAAGAGAGAGATTTGGCTATTTGCCTTGGCAAGGAAGATGCGTAGAAAGTTTTGGCGGAAAACACGAAGAATCAAAAGAAGAGAGAAGAGACACGAATGGTCCGTTTTGGTTTGTCCTCATCACTTAGAAGTGAATTAAGAAAGAGAGAGAGAGAGAAAGAAAGACCTAATGTGTTATCGTATTTTGGAAGATAATTTAGAACGTACCTGAATACAATTTTTATCCATTCAATCTGTTTATGGAATAACCGGTAAAAGACGGATTTCTTCGAAGATATCCAAGAGGACGAGCGTCTTCTCGTCTGTAACGTCGGGGAAGAAGGGAAGGGTAGTGACGTCGAAGTTATTCGTTCGTCAAAGTTATTCCTAAAGGATCACGGACGACATCGAAATAGACCGAAGATGCCGTTGTTATTGAAGATGATAGATGTTTTTAGTTCGTTGAAATCTCTCTTTAAGATACAAAGAATATCCGAGGACACCTTGGTATTTCGACTGCATTATCGTACCACTGTTGCCCTACTGTTAGGCGGCTGTGTCACCTTAGCCTGCAAGAGTATTTCCGGATCGCCCATACACTGCGAGGCTTCCGGTTCCGTTGACAAGGTTGTACTTGAGACTTTCTGTTGGCTTCACACGACTTATAGTATGGTACATGCCTTCAACTTGAGCCTTGGACAAGCTGTACCTTATCCGGGTGTTGCCAATAGTAAAGGCGAAGGAATCCATGGGCATACTCCTCATCCATTGATCAAGCAGCACAAGTATTATCAATGGGTCATCTTCTTTCTTTTGCTTCAAGTAAGGAGTCTCTTCTCCTTGATCTTGAATTTCGATTATCATTATCCTTCTCTCTTTTTCTCTCTCTCTCTCTCTCTCTCTCTCTCTCTCGTCCTTTCTCTCTTGTCCTTTCTCTATCTCTCTTTTTCTTTCTTTCGTTCTTTCATTCTTTTTTTTTCCTTCAAGTAAGGAGTCTTTTTTACTTGATTTTGAATTTCGATTATCATTATCCTTCTCTCTCTCTCTCTCTCTCTCTCTCTCTCTCTCTCTCTCTCTCTCTCTCTCTCTCTCGTCCTTTTTCTATCTCTCTTTTTCTTTCTTTCGTTCTTTCTTTTTTCTCTTTCTTTCTTTCTTTCTTTCTTTCTTTCTTTCTTTGATATCTTTTCAACGATTCAAATCCATTTTCCCATAACCATCTTATCATTCGTTTATAATCTATCTCATTTTTTTTTCTCTTTTTAGGTAAGGAGACAAGTAGGTCGCGCTCGTTCATTCGTTCGATCGAAATTGATATCCCGATGTTTTCGAAGCGTTAACTCGGAACTTTTTCATAGCATCTATAAATAAAGAAGCGAATGCACGTACTCTTCCAAGAGAGGACGATGATGCGAGCATAAGCTTAAATCGATAAGGGTGTATCTCTAGCTAATCGAAGTAGTTAAAGGGATCCCACTGATGCGAGCTTAGCTAGTATAAAAGCTCGCTGGATCAAAAACGTTTTTACGATTAAAACGACGATATAAAACGATTCGTGTTTTTTTCTTTTTTTTTTTTCTTTTCTCTTCTTTTTTTTTCCTCCAATCTAATCAACCAAGTCACATGATTAATGAATTAATATTGAATTAATATTAAAATGTAACATTTGTATCGTCGATTGAAAACTCGAGACTATAGTTTAGCCAACAAATATGAGACGGAACGTCTATCATACTTACGTACGATATCCCCCTTAAAAATAGACAGAATCGCAGAATCTGAAGTGGCGAAGCGTAAAATCAGTTTCTCCCTCGAACAATATATATTTTAAGTTTAATGTAAAACACTCGAGAGTTCGTGGAATGATAAATTATACAAGGGGAGTACTTGGTCGACACTTATCTCAAACATCGGAGATCCCTCGATTTCGTTTTACTATGCGAGTATCTTACCTCGTCCCTACCCTACTAGCGCTGGCTACCCCTCGTCTTTATCCCCTTGTTTAGCTAATTTTACTCGCGGCTCACGTGACACACCGTGCGTTGGCTATGCTTCGTCATCTTTTTCTTATTCTTATTCGTGTACGCACACCTCTCTCTCTCTCTCTCTCTCTTTCTATCTATCTATCTATCTCTATCTCTTTCTCTCTCTCTCTCTCTCTCTCTCCTTTTTCTATCTCCCTCTCTTTCTTACTTTCAACGCATGTTACGTGTGTTGTACGTTTTCTTACAGCAGAAAGAGGGAGAGGAAAGAGAAAAAGAAAGAGAGAGATAGAGAGAGAGAGAGAGAGAGAGAAAGAGTAAGAGGGGGGGCAGAAAGGAGAGAGGAAGAGAGAGTGAGTGAAGAGGGAAGTCGGAAGACGACGATGTCGGATACTGAAGGAGTAGCCTGTATAAGAGAGAGAGAGAGGGAGAGATAGAGAGATATATAGAGAGAAGCTGTAGAGAGATCTATTTTCAACCACGGATTTTCCCCTTTTCTCTTCGCTACTTGCGGACGTTGCCTTGTGCACGATGTGTCGATCCTATGAATCGTATCTTTCGGATTTCGCGATCTGTAATCTCGATGGTCGTTAATTCCTGACGTCTCCTGTAATCGCATCAAGGCCGAGGTCAAAGTCCGAACGTTCGTTCGTCCTTTAACGTAGTTGATAGTTGAAAGTACGAATACGAATTTCTCTACTCGAGGATAAAGATATTCGAAGTAGATTCTTTCTTTTCTTAAAGAGAGAAAAGAAAAGAACAAAAAAAAAAAAAAAAAAGAAAAAACAAAACAAGAAATGGACGAGATAAGTAAAGATGAAAAGTTATGCTCGTAAAAATTATATTTCGTTGTTTGTTCCTTTTTATCTTTTGTTTTTTTTTTTTTTTTTCTTTCTTTCTTTCTTCTTCTTCTTAGCTTTCTTCTCGCGTATTCGAGGAGTAACAAGAAACGAATGATTCTAACGATAATAATACATAAGATACATAAAATGTGTTTGTTTTGTTTACGTAGAATTTCAAGCTGAAGAATATGATATTTTCGTGCAACCCTTTGTCTTAGTTTTGTCGAGTTATTCTTCCTCGCATAACTTTGAAAGAACCACGCTCTCTCTCCCTGCCCCCCTCCCCTACCCCCTATCCCTACCCCCTATCCCTACCTCCTTCCATTCCCCTCTCTCTCTCTCTCTCTCTCATTCCTTTTTCTTTATCTCTACAGGCTTACAAACGTTTCATTCTTTTATCGTATGGCCGCGTGTTTTATTTCGAGCATCCATCAATAGCCACCGGCCGACGTACTTATAACAAAGAGCAGAATGCAATTATGCTAAAAGCGAGGAAGCGTACCCATTCCGCAATCTACGTAAGCAAACAATACGTCTATATTTATAACGAGTAATTTTCTCTTCTCGCTTAGAGAAAAGTGTTGCTTGGGCGGACTGTGGTATTCCCTCCTTCTTTGCATAATCGCACTTTGGAATTATTGAAGAGAAGGAGAAGGAGAAGGAGAAGAAGAAGAAGAAATTACCGTCGCGTATCGTTAAACGATTAAAGCTTTCTCTGATATACGAAACATTCGACCACTAGAACCTCTTTTTCCAATATTCTGAAGAGAGAGAGAGAGAGAGAGAGAGAGAGGGAGAGATAGAGAAAAAAGAAAAAAATAATTACTTATTCGATTCACAAAATATTTTCTTACTTAATGACGTTGTCATATGAAATCGCGATTTATTTACATTGCCCATCAGCATGCGATTAACAATTTTTCGGGACGTAAAATGAATTTTTAATAATCACGTAACAACGTCTTTTTATATAAACTGTGATCATAAATATCGGTCATTGCGATGACGGAGATTAGCTATCTTTTTCTCTTTTTCACTTAAGAGGACGCATTAGTATGGTTAAAAAAATGTAAGAGCAACGGCGACTGCGAAGGCGACTGGAAGCAAGAATTCATCGCCTCGAATGTTAAGCTCGTTATCTTTCCACTCTTATAAATTATGATCGTACATGTTCTCTCTCTCTCTCTCTCTCTCTCTCTCTCTCTTTCTCTCTTTCTCTCTCTTTCTCTGTTTGCAGATAAAAATAGTTTGAAGATCAATTATAAAGATTAATTAATGTAGGGCAATATTTGCCGAGGCCGGTACTGCCTCCGTCTACGTGTAAGCTTAATACTCGAGATCGAGTATTAAAAGGTGGTAGAAAAGCTTAGCTGGACCGAGGCCTCTGGCGATAGGCCAAGAAACTTCGTACGTTACCACCACCGGCATCAGGATTTACACCCGCTTCTTTGATCCGATAGGTGCATCGGCATTACTTCGGAAATCCCGATCGATCGATCAATCTCTCTCTATCTCTCTTTCTCTTTCGCTCTTTATATCTCTATATCTCTCTATATCTCTCACGAGTAAACAGATTTTGTATCGCAATAATTCTTTCGTTAGATGTATTAAACCCAATGAAATGAAAGAATTGAACGAAGTTTCCAGCAAATCCAAGTTAACATCTGGACAGATGGTGATAGTAAGACAGTCATTGGTAAGACGTCTACAGGCTTGTATTCAGATGCGAGGAGGTTATTTCGAACGTCTCTTATGAAAGTAAGCAGATAGAGTTTGTTGAAAATCAAATCCACTATAACTCGACCGAAAAGAAAGAAAAGAAAGAAAAAAGAAAAAAAAGAAAGAAAAAGAAAAAGAAAAAGAAAAAGAAATATCAAATAGGACATATGTTTATGTGAACTTTTTCTTTATTGTTTTGATGTGCCGAATCCATCCCTAAAATATGTTCCATTCTATATATAGTGTTATTGTAATATATACAATATATATCTATATATATATATATATATACTACAGATTGTGTGCATATATGTATATTTAAGTTACTATATATATATATATATATATATATCTCGTATGTTCTACCATATATGGTAGACATTTAATACATTTGAATATAATTTGTAGGCGATTCTCTTTTACACTCCGCGATGGCTGTGGAAGGGCTGGGAGGGTGGGAAGATTCACGCTCTCATGATGGATCTCGACATAGGTTTGTGCTCGGAGGTAGAAAAGAAACAAAAAAAGAAGATGCTGCTTGACTACCTATGGGAGAATCTACGTTATCACAATTGGTGGGCATACAGGTACTACCTCTGCGAAGTTCTCGCTCTTCTGAACGTGATCGGTGAGTAGTCATATATTCTCTCGCTTCCTGTCTCTCATTTTCTGTTCGTTTCTTCGAACAAAAAAAAAAAAAAAACAAAGAAAAATAAAAAAAAAAAAAAAATAAGCAAACAAACCAAAATAATAAACTAAAAGAAACAAAATTTCTTTCGCGCTTGATGATAAATCGAAACTAACTAATAACTATGATTTAAAACATGAAAGTTTAATCTTATTATGTTAATACTTGTGTCATACTTAACTTAAGAGTCTTTCCGGCTCGTTGCGAAATGGAACGAAGAACAGGCTCCTTTCTATAACGATGACGGTAATGTCGCATGGCGATATCGGACCTAGCTGACCTATTTTCTCAAAAACGAAACGATACGAGGAGAAAGATAAAGATGAAACTTCTTTTTAAAGTTCCTCGGACAAAGGTGGCTTTTCGTATAAAAAGGTAGGACCGAGAGATTCTACGAAGGAACTGTGCAGTGGAATGTAAAATAAAAATTTCAAACGGTGCCAGGAACTCGATTCTTACACACACACACTCTCTCTCTCTCTCTCTCTTTCTCTCTCTGTCTCTCCCGCTTTTGAAAGTGGGAGATTGTATCAAATATATTTTTTATTCGAATCACTTCTTTCCCGTTGTAAGATACGATCACGATACTTAACTAATACATAAACTTTATCAAGAATCTTTTTCTTCTCATTTTCTACAAAAAAAAAAAAAAGAAAAAAAAAGAAAGAGATATAAATTTATAGTTATCACATTTTCTCCCGTCATTTGCATTTCCTTTCATTTTCCAGTTAGTCATTTTCTTTTTTTCTTTTTCTTCTTTCTTTCTTTCTTTCTTCCTATCTTCTTTTTTTTTTTTTTTTAATTCATCTCATTTTCTTTATATATATATATATATATATATATATATATTTTTTTTTTGTTTTTTTGTTTTCTTTTTAAAGGTACCATCAGTACATATTTGATCTCTTTTATTATTCTTGTTTTCTTTTCTACCTTTCTCTCTCTCTCTCTCTCTCTCTCTCTCTCTCTCTCTCTCTCTCTCTCTCTCTCTCTTATTCATCCTCTTTCGATCTATTTCATATTATCTCTTTTCTTTCCGTTTGTGTCACTCGTCGAAACAAATTTCATCATTCTTTCTAACGCTTTTCTTTGAGCTCTTTACTTGTTTAACTATTTACATTTCTTTTGTCAGATTATATAAGTAAAGCCATATATATTTCAGGGCTTTACTTTCTATTATTTTCATATACGTTTCGTCTTAGATAAGGTGAATAAGTATAAACGATATGGATCGACAGATAGAAAAAAGAGGGATGACATAAGTAGAGGAAATGAGAAGCAGAGTGAGGGGGGGAAAGAGGGACGGAGGGATTTTAGAATGAATAGAAAGAGTGAATGAACGATTCACAGTAGAATTTGGCAGCGATACAGCTGCTTCGAGTCGTGTTAATGGAAGACGTACTTACTCAGCTCGATCGTATTTTTTTTTCTTTTCTTTTCTTTTCTTTTCTTTTTTTTTTTTTTTTTTTTTTTTTTAATGAATGAATAAAAACAACGTTTTTCTTTCTTTTTTTTTTTTTTTTTTTCTTTTTTCCTTTTCCTTTTCTTTTTCTCTTAGATCCATGTCAAAGTTCTCGATTTTTATCTCGATTTTACTGGCTCCTCTAAAACTATTTCGAATATACACCAAAAGTATTAATAGTCACTTCGCCTTTTCCTTTTTCCCACCTCTTACAGGCAATTAACCCCATTTGTGTCTTTCCGAGGAAACGCGGGCACGAGACCCGACGGAAGTTTGCGAAACTTTCGTAAGATCCGACAAACAATTTAGCTTTTCTTATACGTTCAACATAGCGATAATCGAACGGCCTCGTTTGAACGGATCGTGAACTTGAGTCATCGTGTCTATTAACTCGAAAATCTAATTTCTTTGATTCTCCGAACGGCCAGAGACGTGTTCCAGATGATTATCTATTTGCGAGAATTTATTTATTATAAACATTATATAGTATATTTTTTTCCCCCCCATGTACACACATGTACATAGATATATTTGTGTATACGTTTTTTTTTCTTTTTTTTTTCTTTCTTCTTTTTTTTTTTTTTTTACGTTTAGTATTTTTAAAGATTAAGTAGTTAAGATTGTTTATTATTAGACGTTTCGAGAGTTGATATTTCCCACGTGGTAGATTTCTGTTAATGATTATCGGCCAATCAGAAACGATAGATTGTTGTTATCCATTTGAGAGCTCAAATACGACGTGTCTGGCGCAGGTCAGATGTTCTTGATGAACCGTTTCTTCGACGGAGCCTTCCTGACTTTTGGGATCGACGTACTTAGGTTCCTCGAGTCCGATCAAGAGGACCGGGTCGATCCAATGATCTACGTCTTTCCACGAATGACCAAGTGCACCTTCTACAAATATGGCGTTAGCGGTGAGGTCGAGAGGCACGATGCAGTTTGTATATTGCCATTGAACGTTGTCAACGAGAAGATCTACGTCTTCCTTTGGTTCTGGTTCCTTCTTCTTGGGATATTAAGCTTCATAACGGTATTATACAGGGTCAGTAGATGAGGATTATACGTTTAAATTGTCTTCTTATGGACTTTCATCGATCATTTTTTTTTTTTTTTTTTTTTTTTTCTTTTGATCATCGTCATGTAAAGTTCAACATCGTGGAGAAACATTGGTTAAAAAGGAAGAGAAAGTAAAAGGACGGTGAAAGTAAATGCGAATGCTCGATGAAAGTCCATACGTCTGTTAGGTTGACTCTTTTCAATCTTCTTCCTCTTCCTCGTTGAAGAAAGAAGAAGAGGATGAAGATGAATATTTTTAATGTTTACTTATCTCTCTCTCTCTCTCTCTCTCTCTCTCTTTCTCTTTTGTTTTCTTTTTCTTTTTTTTTTTTTTGCAATTCATAAAGAAGCCAAATCGATTATTCTAAAGAGATATCTTCTCTACGATGCATAAGATACATCGTGTAGATTTTAGATATTCAACGTGGTACACGTTTAAGCATCAATTTGTTTTTCTCTATTATGTATTCCTTCGTTCGTAACTCCCTGAATAAAATTATCGATGGCAGCTTATCAGGAATTTTTCCCTCTCATCCCTCGAGAAATCTGCTAATTTCGTAGCTTCTGCCATGTAAAGATATCCCTGCGATAAGGCACGCAAACGAATTAACCCTTTTCCATTGGAAAACAGACATTCTGTTATATCTATGCTCTTACGTACGTACGTATGTATGCGTGTATGTAGTTCTCTGTGTAGTGATAATTTTTTAATCTTTAAAGATTATCTTTTATTCCGAAGGATATAATATTTAAGAGAAATCGAATCTTTTATTTAACATCATTAATCTTTTCAATGAAATGAATTAGACAATTAACAAGAAAAAAAAAAAAGATTAAATATTTATTACGTTGCATTTTTATTATATCGATGAAATTAATGTTAGGAATAATATGGAATTGTTCACTTATCAAATTAAAATTAATTTCATGTAAGGAAAAAAAAAAGTGAAAAAAATCTGACGAATTAATATAAATTACTTTTTAAAATTTCCCTTTAACATATACATTCGAATAAAACATTATAGAATGTATAAATCGAGACGTAGCTATTATTTAACGACATATAAAGTGAATGATAAAGTGAATGATTATAGAAACAAATTATTTTTTATTAGACGATGAAGAAAATTTTATCATTTAATGGTATAAAATTAGGAAAATTTATTATTAATATAAATAGTGATGGATTACGTCAGATTGACACTTAAGTTTAAAAAAAAAAAAATGTCCTAAAAGATGGCTTTAATCGATTAGGCTTGTGAACGGTTCATAATATATCAGCCTGTAAATGCAGTGAGTCTGAAAAAAAAAGAGAAAGAAAGAAAAAGAAAAGGGGGAAAAAAAGAAGAAAAAAAAAAAAAAAACAAAAAAAAAAAAGAAATAGCATTGTCTGATCGTATGATCCACAGATCGTAATCATATTTTCACCGCGAACGAGGGTATATCTACTGAGACTGAGATTTCGTCTGGTTAGAAGAGAGGCCGTTGAGACGATAGTACGACGTAGCAAGGTCGGCGATTGGTTTCTCCTTTATATGCTAGGCGAAAACTTGGACACCGTAATATACAGAGACGTGATGCACGAATTGGCGAATAAGCTTGCC